CCCTTCCATACAGAAGCAGGGAAGTTGGCGGTGGGGGGGAAGAGTGTGCTGCAGAGAATCATGGGAGGTTTCATTCTCGACTCCTAATTCCTTTCTGCCACTGCTGCCAGATGTTGCAGTTTCTCAGGGTTGTGTGGATCTGCTCGGTAACTTTCAAAGCGTCCGGCGAGAATCCTAGCGAACTGAACTGCTCCAACCATGACCTGTGTAGGGACTTGGCATGCAGGCTCCGTTCTCCGGAACAAAAGGAAACTGGCGATTTGGCTTTAAGCTCCGAGAGGTGCAGAATGGAAAGGCCTGTGTGCACATTTTTCAACAGCTAAGTTAAAATCTCTCCCTTCTCGGACGGATACAAAAGCTCTGGGATTCTTTTCGTTTTGCCTTTTTTCCACCCTAACCATGGGATGTCTGTTCTCGGTACCGCAAGAGGACCTGACTCTGGGGAGGTGAGTCAATCTTCCCGATCAAGCAATCTGTAGATCTTAATCCCAGGACCGCGTCTCTCTCAAGAGCTACATGTAATTGTGTATTGATCTCCCTGCTGAACTCTGAGGGCAGGAAGAGAAGAGGAAAGGAGGTTCTGCCTAAACTGCTACTCGGACTGAGAAGTACAAGAGACTGCTCTCTGTCCAGTGGGATGGAGGGTGTACAGGGCAGTTTCTGTTTTTTTTCTGACTCAGAGCGACATCTGGACCTAGGATCTTGTGCTGAAAAATACGTACAAGTTAGTGCCTTTGGGAGTCCTAAGGAGGAATATTTTTGGGGGCCCCCACACACAATACATACTAATAATAGGGGGACCTCTTGAGCTGCTCCAGGCCCTAAGCAATTGCTTAATCTTAGTGCGAGCTCTGCAAGTTGGTAACTAAACAAGACCGCTCTGCTGGGAGGCTGCTGCCTTGGGAGTTTGGGATGTGGATGGTTATGATCTGGAGACTTCCAGACCCTCATCGGGCTGCGTTGGCGTTTCTCTCTTTTGAACTGTTGGCTTTAAACTCGAACAAGAGACAGAGTCTGAAGGAGGCTCTCTGCATTCTTGGATGTTGGTAGGAAGAGTGAGAGAAGCATAGTCTGTATAGTTGTATATTTTAAAGATGTAGGTTAAGTTAACACCCCCTTCCTCTGCCTTGTTTCTCGCTTGTGGTACAAGCTATACCGTAGACTATTAGAAATAAAAGAGCATTGTACATATTGACGGTACTTTTCACCCCTTAGGTTTACTGTTTTGGTTTGCTCTCCTTTTGGGGCAATGAAAATAGACTTCTGGTATGGCTTTTATCATCCATTTCTGTTCATTTTCACATTCAGGTTCTCATGGTCTATCAGGGTGCTGCAGTGGGTTGTAAAAACCAAAACCTGTTGTCTTTAATTTGTTTGGTGTTTATGGAGCGCCCATCACCACAATAGCTAAACGCTAGATGAGTGTGTATCTAAATAAGATACACACTCTACATACTGTGTATGGAAACATATTTTCTTTTGGTTTTAAGTTGTGTAACTGCTTCTAACAACCTAATCCCCTGATGGCTTTCCCTTAAAATTGGTCTAGTACAGCTGCTGTGTAAGTTACAATGTCTACGTGGATCTATCATTGTCTGACGCTGGTTTCTTCTAATCAGTTAGACCTCCTTGCACAGTTTTCTCTCCCCTGACACCTAACCTGTAGCTGCAAGGGACTTATTTCTTGCAAAGAGAACAGGGTCCAGTCAGAGCCTAGTGAGGGGAGCTGTAGCAGTTCATTATTTTGGGGTGGGGAGAGAAGGCCTGGAGAGAGATTTATTTAAAGCCCTCTTTGTGCTGGGGATGTGCTCAGACACATTCTCTGGGATCCCTCCTTTGGGGCCGCACGGGTTAGGAAACTGTTAGCGAACTCTGCACATTCTCACACGATCAGAAGCCAGAGCCTCTTGTTTTTGCCCAGAGGCGGCTCTCTTCCCACGGGAGACCCAGCCTCGCATTCTTCCACCGTGAAAGGGAAATGGGAACGCGTCCCATGCTCCTTGCTTCCTGCGTGCTGCTAAAGCCCCATGTGGTGAATGAGAGTGAGCAAACGGCTGGCACTCATCCTTCTGTCTGGGAAAAGACTATAGTGAGAAAGCCGCCACCTCTCCTGGGGTTCCTGGGACCGGATCACGGTCTCATATAGTTTATTTCTATTCACTTCCAGAGTCATCTGGGTCACTTTCACCAGTGTCACCCTTGTGAGACCAGTGCAGTTGCACTGGTGTGACTGAGACCTTGTGTATACTGTCTTTCTAGCCACTAATGACCCTAGTGTAGACACAATTTAGACTGGCGGAGTTTGTCCCTGTTTCAAAGTGGAGCAAGCTGCACTGATACAAATTGGACTATGCAAGTATAAATTGTGTCTATACCAGAGGCCTGCATCAGTGGCTGAAATCCCTGTGTAGACAAGGCCTGAGAGGAGACTTTAGCCCTCAGATGGCAGCAACCTGCTTGCAAGGGACTTTTGGTAGCTCTGATCAGTAATCAGTCTCTCCAGAAGCACAGCTCTGTTCCAAGGAGGTCTCCAGGTGTTTGCTTCTTTGGGTGCATCTACACTGTGACGAAAGACCCGCAGCTGGCTCGGGTCAGCTGACTTGGGCTGCAGGACTATAAAATTGCAATGTAGCCATTTGGCCCTGCGAGCCGAAATCATCTGACCCAGGCTCTGACACTTGGTGCTGTGGGTTTTTTTATCACAGCGTACACATACCCGCTGGTTTGTTCTGTGAGCAGAGCAGCCGTGTTCCTTCACATCCAGTCCCCAGCTCAAGCGGTAACCACAGGACACAGGCTTGTCCCAGAAGCTTTGTAATGAGGGGCAGCTGCGCCTACGGGCCGATGTGCCTGCTTTCTGAGTCAGATGTGTTTAAAATGTACTCTGTTCTCATGCTAAGCGGATGAAAGAGCATCCCTTTACTGCCTCTGGAGAGAAGCAAGAAGTTCATCCTTCCCTTCTCTTGTCCTGTGTTCTCCTCAGCCCTGCCCCATGGATTGCGCCGTCAAGGGGATGTCGGTGCGGGGCAGTCATGAGAACCCCGTAGGATAATGAATCTCAGAACAGATCATTTCAGCCAAGAGGTGGGAAAGGACGTTTGAAGGGACTTGAGTGGAAATCCATCTGAACTGGAGGTCTGTGTTGAGCTGCAAGGTTCTGAGCTTGCGTCGCGTTGAGGTTTGCCCGAGACGGGGCGGGAGTTCCGGGGAGCTGTGCAAAGTGAAACGTCTGTTCAGCTTGTTGGCTGGATTTTGAGATGAAGAAGCCCTGCGACTGACCAGCCGGGGTCCTCGAGGCTTCCTGAATGTAGGGACTGCCAAACCAGAAGAGAATAATTGCACATCTAGTCTGGTAGCATATCTCTAGCAGTGGTCATCGCCTGCCGCCCACCGGTGCAGCGCCGGTGGGAGAAGGAGAGCTTATTCCCAATCCCAGACTGGAGATCAGCTTTTACTCACGCCAGGTCTATACTAGGTGCGCTTTGCTGGTACAGTTATCCCAGGCCCCCATCCTTGCTGAGTAAAGCAAGCTATGCTAGCAAAAGTACAGTGTGATCGATAGAACTGTCTGCTCTGTAGGGTTTGGCCAGCACAGCTGTCTTTGTCAGGGATGTCTCCCCATCACACCTCTGACTGATCTGGGTAGGCCATCCAAAGTTGGTAGTGTGGATCTGGACTTAGAAGCATGAGGAGTAGCAACCCCTTCTAGTCTGTATCCTCGCTAGCTTAAGTGCAGATGCTGCTTTTATTCATATAGATGATTCATTGTTGTTGTTTTTTAATTCTTTCTCCACTTGAGCTCTTTCTTCCTGTTGCAGTGAGTTCAGTGGTTAATGTTGCATAAAAGCATTTCGATTGTTTCCTTTGTGTGACTTCACTGAGTGCCTTCTGGGGCTGGTTAAACAAAAGCATTCGATTTTGAACGTCTCTGTGCAACTTGCTGTGTTTACAGACGTCTATCCGAGCTCTGCTTTCTAGATTAAATAGTCCTTGGGCTAGAGTTACAAAGGGATTTAGGTGCTTGAAGATGCAGCTGGGCGCCCAGAGGGATTTATGAAAGTGCCAAAGTGAGTTAGGCACCTGACTCCCATGGGCGCCCCAACCCCAGTGACCGATTATTTCTGCTGTACTTCTCGGTCTGTCTCTTGTGGCCAAAGTGGAAGCACCATTGCTCAAGGCGAGGGTGTACCCATGGATTCATAAAGCAGTGATGTAATCTCAGTAGCTAGGGCAATTAAACCAAGAAAATAATCGAGACGGGGAACAGTGTCTGGGAGAGAGGGAGCGTCACTGTTCGCTGTGTGTTCTTGGTTTCCAGTGACGCTAGCGTGTGAAGATCAAGGAGGGAACAGAAGTAGTCAGGCCCTACCACCTTGAAGAGGTTTATGCTTCCAACATAAGTGTTTCAGTCTCAATCCATAGCCCAGTGTCCCCCAGTCTGGGGGAGGCACAGGGGAGCAGAAGGCTCTTGTATCGCCTGCAGCTAATTCAATAGATTGTTTTGTAATCCTGAGTCGTGTCTGCATTTTAGGGTGGGGAGCTTAGGACGGGGAAACAGGTGTGTGTGTGTGTGTGTGTGTGTGTGTAAGTTACTGCCCATCTCCTTTTGGGGCTGACTTTCCCCTCCCCTTCCTTCCCCACCCATTGGTCTCCCCAGTACATGTCACTTTGCGGATCATCCAACTGCCAGTGCTCTTGGAGTGGGCTGATCTCATCTCTCAGGGTGGTGAGGGAAAGTCCTCTCTGCTCCATCACTCCCATCCTGCTCCAGGTTCCATGTAGGTAGGATCTCAGGGTTATTAATGCACCTGGGCCCTTGTGAATGGCAGCGGGACATGTTCACCAGGCTGTTCCCCTCTGTAGCCTTATCCCGCCTCTGTGAAGCAGATCTCTTCCCTAGCCATGTGTAGCAAGCTCCTGCTCCACGCTCTCAGACTGCCCCATTCTGCCTCTCTTCGGATTACACATCAACTGAAAGGGAGGCCTTTGCTGTCTTTCAGAACATCCTTGGTGAGGGAGACCAGCTTCGTTGAGAAGATGAAGAAAACGGTAAGTTTTTCTTTCTCTTTTCTGAAGCTGTGGAAGGAGCAGGTTCTTCCTGTTTAGCCAGTGTGGAGGGGATGGAGGCCTCTTCCTTCCCTATGGTGAGAGAATTGCCTATCCAATTCCTGCCACTGTTCATGGCACTCTGGGGGGGGCTGGGCAGCTTCTTGTGTGAGTTACTAGACCCCTCCAGCGCTAAAGAAGCAGGAGCTGCTTAGCAGCTGAGCTGTCTAGCTAGCATCAGCAGTGAGCTGCTGGGAGATGGATTCGGTCCTGCTACTAATGAGCATCTTTGTGCAGTACCCGAGTTCTGGAAGGCTAGTCAAATTAAATAAAAAGGAGGGTGGGAAATCAGGGCTGTTTCTCTGCAGATATCCTTTTGTACTAGACAGATGAAATCTGCCTCTTTGAAGAGAGAGGTAATTCAGGTGAGGGCTTAGCAACAAAGGGAAGTGTAATGTGAGGTTGGGGTCAGGAGGAAAATGGTGGATTCCTTAAACTCCCTGGCTGATCATTATTTGTGGTAGCACCGGCTACCAAACGCCTCAGAATGACCAGTTTCCAAACGCCTCAGAATGACCAGTTTCTGCTCGAAGGAGTTCCTATTCAAAGGAGCTGTTCTCCAATCACACACTGTTCATCGCTCCCCAACCCCCTCACAGAATAATAACGTAGCAGGTTTTTTTAGCGGGTGTCCACGGTGGATCTCAAAGCACTGTGCGAGCAGTAATTTAGCCTCCCAGTCCCAGTGCGTAGGTATTGCAGAGAAGCCCAGAGATGTGATTTGCCCAAGTTTGTGTCAGAGTCAGGAATAGAATCCAGGACTCCTGACTCCCGGTCCTTTCCTTTAACCATGACAACACCCTCCTTGCTCCTGAACTCCAGTTACTGGCCAAATTAGCAACTCGTGTGTAACTGCATCTCTGTCTTTCCAGGGGCGAAACATCGTGGTGTTTTATGGTTCCCAGACTGGTACAGCAGAGGAGTTTTCCAACCGCCTTTCCAAAGATGCCCATCGGTACGGCATGCGAGGCATGTCAGCGGACCCTGAGGAGTACGATATGGTAAGTTAAACTTCGCTGCACACAGCATCTTTACTCTTATCGAATTCCGTGCGTGCGAAGGATATGTAAGTGGTGCCTGCGACCCGCGGGCATGCTGAAGGGATGTGTTATTAATTAACAAAGAAGGGGAAGAGCTGTTAGCATCGGCTGCTTGCAGCAATTATTAAGTAACTGTGGGCCCAGTAAGATACGGCACAGGGATGAGGAATGTGTCCTTGAACCATTTAGTGCTAGCAAAATCAAGGGCCTTAGCCCCTGGAGAATGATGTGCTGCTTCTTGTGGGAACGAGGAGGGGGTCACCACCTGCTTTACAGAGTTATTCCAAAAAGGGGAGCAATCGTGAACTGAAACAACCATTTTTAGGGTCCCCCAAGGAGCCAGACTTTCCCGTCTGCTGGGAGGAGAGATTGGGCCAATGGATTTCTCCCTTTCTGGCAGTGGGACCGGGGCAGGGCCGTGAGCCGCCGAGCTTGGGTGTGCTCTGGGGCTTCAAGCAGGTTCTTGGCTTGATTGTGCCAAGAGCAGGAGCTGAACAGGGCAGATCATGCCGGGCAGTGAAAGGGTGGGAACAAGCAGGAAGCTGTTGTGGGCCGTTTGGAAAGAATGAGCTAGCCGCCTCTGGAGAGCTCGCCCGCTCTGGGTCGTGTTCCTCCGTTAGCTGAACGGAGACCTCTGTGGCCTCGGCAAGCCAGTCAGATGTGCTACTGAAGAGTATAGACAATAATAGCTGCTTACAAAGTGAAGTGAGCCAGAAGCTCCTCTTCTGAGGCCTGGCTGGGTAGGAGGCCACCTTGCTCTGGGATCTGAGTCAGAGAGGACCTTCGCTCCGAAGAGGAATTGGACCTCATGCTCTTAGAACCAGTGGGTGAGAGAAATCTCTCAGCTGGGGCCAGAATCAGTGCTCCGAAGTCCTTGCAGATGTTCCACCACCTCTGTATCACAGAGGACACCTCGGTTCTGGTGACCTGATAGGTCACCTTTACCCTGGGAATCTGTCGCCAGGCAACCTGAAGGGTTCTGAGGTGCTATTTGGTCTCACCACTCATAGCCTGTTCAGAATATTCCTTGGTGCTTTCCTGAAGAGTAAGAATGTTAACCACAGTGTCCTGGCCGCAATCCTGTTGGTTAACAATGCAAAGTAACACCAGACAATTGCCACATTGCACACCAGAGGCAGTTGCATTTTAGTGGTGGTGATGTGAACCTCTCCCCCCCCCCCCCCCACCGTAATAACGTTCACAATGATTGCTCTGGGATCCTTGAAGTTGAGAAGTGTTACATAATGTAAGGAACTTAATCTCTCTGGCCTTGTTTCTAGTCTGATCTGAGCCGCCTCTCTGAGATTGACAATTCCTTGGCTGTGTTCTGCATGGCTACGTACGGAGAGGGTGATCCCACAGACAATGCTCAGGATTTCTATGACTGGCTGCAGGAGACTGATACTGACCTGACTGGTCTCAAATTTGCAGTAAGTAAACCAGCTCTGCGCTACTGCTTATGCCTGATTTAGGCATGAAAGTCCCCCATGCATATGCCCAAATCAGACATGAACTTACAAGTGAGCATGCAATCTCAGTTTGCATGCCTTGCATCCATGCCTTGCATGTCTATGTCAGGGGCTCACCATTGTGTGCTGCATGTTTGCAAACATGGTTCTGTGTGCTTTAAAAATGACTCATGACTCCCTCCTTCCCCTCTGCATCATGAAGGATCATTGAGTCCATATTGCTGCAGACGGCGTCTAGCATGCACTTGAATGCGAAGGCTGTAACTAAGTTACAGGCTACTGTTATTGTTTAGCAGGCTAATTGGACAGCCTTAGGCCAGATATTCTCCTGCAAATTAGGTCATTCCAAGAAGCATATCATTTCTTTCCTGTATTTAAATTTAATAATTGCTACCTACCTCCCCTGCAGATTTCCTGGGCTGGGTGGTACCCAGAATTGCAAAGCATGAGATAATCCATTGCTTGGTCTCCAAATGAGGTAGTTTCACCCCAGTGGGGGTATAACATACGGTACAAAGACGTCCATCGCTGACAATGGAATGGAAGGGATGGTAGATTAGAGAGCTGGATATTGATGAGAGATGTATAGCCAAGTGCTCTGTTTGGCCCCAGAAGAGGTGCCACTTCCCTCACTCTTTCCCACTCATGTGCCTGAACCAGTGTGGCCTAGTGGACAGAACTCCAGACTGGGAGTCAGGAGACCTGGGTTCTATCCCTGGCTCGACTGGCCTGTGGGGTGACCTTGGGCGAGTCCCTTCCCTGCAACATACCTCAGTCTCCCCATCTGTAAAGTGACCACCTTTGCAAAGCACTTTTGAAATCTCCTGATGAAAAGTGCTATGAAAGAGCAAGGTGGTGATATTCAGATTATTTATAATGGGGGAGAGGACAGTTCAGACTCATGGCTCATTCAGTGCTGGGCCTCTTTCTTGAGGCTTCTCAAAAGGAGCCAGTTTGGGGGTGCTTTTTAGTACGGTTCTGTCCCTCAGGAACTGAAACCCCCAGCTCACTTCAGAGAACACCAAATAACCAGGAGATGGGGACAGCTTTTGGTCACTGTGGAGCTGGGCTGAATTTGAACCAGTGACCTACAATAGTGGTGAAAGGTTATAGCCACAGAAAACCTACCTCCTTAGCCAGCCAGAGCCCTCCAAATGGGCTCCTCGACTCCTTTTGATAGAGATTTTATATGTTTATAGCCATCCTCTTTGGCGTGAGGTTTTTGAATTAATGCATTGACTTCATCTGATTGATTGACTGTCATTCTCTTCCAGGTGTTTGGGCTGGGCAACAAGACTTACGAGCACTTCAATGCGATGGGGAAATACGTGGACAAGAGGCTGGAGCAGCTTGGAGCCCAGCGGATATTTGAGCTCGGCATGGGAGATGATGATGGGAAGTGAGTAGAGTTGGATGTTTGCTTTGAGCATTGGCTGGCTCGGAGCAAGCACAGAAGAACAGACCATATTGTGTGTGTGTGTCTCTATAAAACGTATGGGGGCTAACGTTCTGCTAACTAGCATATGTACCTAGCAGGGACTGGCTGGGGCTAGGATGTCTGCTGAATTGGGAAGTGGGCTTTACGTCCTCACTGGGACAGAGACCTGTGGGATTGCTGTTCGGTTCAGAGTCACGTCGTTTGCCAGATCCCTTGTGCCTCAGGAGCTGTTTTCATAGAGGCAGCGGGGTGTAGCTAAAATTTTTTAGCTTTCAAGTGTACAAACTAGCTGGACCCCTCTGTGTCTCCCTCAACCCCACGTCCGTCTCTGCCTGACACACTGTTGTTACTGTAGCTTTTGATTTGCCTTTACGTGCACGGGTGCAATCACTCCTGCGATTATCCCAGCAAATGGAAACTTGCATTGGCCCAGAGCTTGCCTTAAGTGTTCTCAGTCTGAAGTTAAACCTGTTCAATAAAATAAAGGCCTCCCGAAACCTTGACTGATCTTTCTAGGTAATGCTGCCTGCAGACTCCCCACCTGGGCCTCTGATCTTATTAGTGAGGGTCACGTGTGGAGAGGAAACCTCTGGAGGAAAAACCCAGAAGTGCAGAAAGCATTGCTGTACATTCTTCTGTGTGAACTGGAGTTCACCAGTATCTGACCGGCACCCTCTTGTATGGCTGCTGCCTGAATCACTGATGATATTGCTGAAGTGGAGACATGGCCCGGGTCTGAATGTGAATTCATCATCCTAGCTCCCTAGGGTCCAGCTAAAATTAGTTGTTTGGTGCGTGAACTAGAGGAGGGCAGGTACGGAGGGGTGCACGGGGTATGGGAGGAGATATTGCATTGGGGCCTCACCCTGCAGTTTGCTTCCGGAGCACCCCTCTGGCTGGCTGTCCAGGACATGGCATTGACACTGCTACTTCTCTCCTGCCCTGAACAGCCTGGAAGAAGACTTCATCACTTGGCGTGAGCAGTTCTGGCCGGCAGTGTGCGAGCACTTTGGCGTGGAAGCTACCGGAGAGGAGTCCAGGTAAGTGTGGGAGCAGGGGAGATACCGGCATGGATTTTTTTGCAGAAATCCCAAGTGAAAAGTGGCATTTTGGCATCCAATCCCCATCCAGGCCTGAGCTGGTGTCTGCTTTTCAAAGAGCAAAGACTCACCCCATTGAGACTTAAAAGTAGCGAGAAACCTTAAGTAGATTCACCCTTGTAAATGAAAGAGGGTCCAGTCCAAACATCCCTACGTCCTGGGCTAAGTGACTTCAGATCAGAACTTTTTTGGCTCCATTTGTTGAGTTCACTTCTCCATGGCACAAAACTCTTTATAAATAGTTGTCAAGTTGTCAACCTGGTGATGAGTCCAGTGATGCTGCTGCTGTTTCTCTGGTCTCCCTCTTGTGTCTCACTAGGCCATCTTCCAGGCGCTGCCCTACCCCATTTATCGTGCTCTGATAAAATACTTAGATCATCTGCCAAAGCGAGCCTGGGCACCAACATGTCACGCTGAATACTGAGTGAATGCAGTCTAGAACCATCTCTCTCCCTGTAGTTCATAAACTGTAGTTCATAAATGGGGACCGTTTGTCTGACGGCCTAAAGCTGATGAATTTTGTGTCGATTAACAGCTTGGGAGCAAAGTCCCGCAAAGATCGTTTTCCAATCAGTCATAAAGCGTTCAGCAAATATCAGCACTTAGTGAACATTGTTTTGCCTTTGGAAGCTTCCCCAGGTAGCTCTGGCCCTGATCTCTTCTGAGTAAGCTGAGGGTTGTGCCAAATTACTAAGTGTTTTTTGTGATGAGGCCTGTGGTCTCTAGGCCATTAGACTGAGACCTCCAAACTTGTGGTATGTGTGACCTAAGCAGCTTTGACCAGCATTTTTGAAGCTTAAAATGCTAAAATAACCCATCATGCCGCTACTTCCCACCACTTCCAAAAGTGCTTTCTCTGCATAGGGACTTTGACTGGGAAAAGAGGGTTATTGATTACACCCAGCAAATCAGATGCAACACATTGTCCAAGCTGTGTTCGGTGGTTCACAGCTGCCTCCTTTCTCTCTTTCTCCAGCATCCGTCAGTATGAGCTGGTGGTCCACACAGACATCAATATGAACAAGGTCTACACTGGCGAGATGGGCCGGCTGAAGAGCTACGAAAGCCAGAAACCGTAAGTACCAGATTATTCCAGGTAACTTTGGCTGAGAGTGGTCAGTGCAGAAAAGTCAAGGAGCATGTCCTTCAAAGCCTAATATTAAATGCTCTGCTGGAAGTTGTCATTTCCCTACCATGGCCTCCTAAAATCCCCGCCAGTGCTTAGACCATAAACTCTTCGGGGCAGTCTCTTGTATTATGTGTGTACAGTACGTAACACAGTGGGACTCTGACTGGGGCCTCTAGGTGCCACCTGGATAATGAGGATTAATACAATGGTGATGAAAAGACAGCTATATTAGACATGCTGTTGTAGACTTCGGCTTTTGAATTTAGCCAGTGCTGTTTAAGGCCACACTAGGAATTAAGTTGTTCCTGCATGGCCATGCCATTGTATATACAAAACCCATGTGCAAAGGCTTATTCTGCCTGCATTACATTGTCTGTGTGGGCATATTTTGCAGATTAAACCCCACTATTTGAATGTGTGGCGGTAAAATACCCGAGTCGAGATTGAGAAACAAAAGTCGTGTTCCACAGTGACCTGACGGAAATGCTGCTACTGACTTTCACCTAGAACTTCGGGACGCTCTTCTCTCCTGTCTCATTCCCGAGCCCTGATTTAGTTTCCAAGAAAAAGCATTGAGACAAATGCATTGGCGAGGTCAGAGCAGAGCCACAAATGTGGTTGTAATGAAAGGTTGAGGCCTGTGAGGAAGTCTAAGGGGGAAGCCAGCTGTCTTCTGCAGGGGAGAGGCCTCAGTTTCATGTAGGACAGAAGAAGGAAGAGAAAGATTACTTGGGTTAAGTATCAGGAATAACCATAAGGATCAAGCTGCCAAGGGAAGCTCTGCCCGGATAGTCAAGGCTAGAAACCCGTTCCTTAGGGACGGTGTAAAGATAATGAAATCAGTCCTGTTGAACTGCAGCGTGATGGAGGGGTAAATGTCCCAGTAGAGGGCTTCTTCAGATCCAACTGATCTGATCTAGTTTTTCATGCTACCAGGAGGAGCCATTTTGGGCTAGTGAGAGAGAGCACTGATGCATCTTCTAATACTGTGTCAGTTTACAAGATTGCATTGTACTAACTTTCAACTCATTTAGGGGGGTGGAAGAAGAGAGGAAGGGTGGCGCAGTGGGTTAGGCACTAGATTGTGACTTGAGAGACCAGAGTTCAATTTCCTGCTCTGCCACAGACTTTGTGTGTGACCTGGGGCAAGTCACTTAGTCTCTCTGAGCCTCAGTTTGCCACCTTTAAAATTGGGATAATAGTACTGCCCTAATGGGGTTTGGTAAATACGTTAACGATTGGGATGTGCTCAGATGCTACAGTTATAGGGGCCATATAAGTACGATAGATAGATGAAGGGGGTGGAAGGAGCTTCCAAGCCATAGCCCTCTCTTAGCTGCCCTTCTGGAATGGCAGTTCCTGAACTCAGTGTGTTGTGAAATACCCTCTGCTCCCTTGAGTGTAGAAGGCCAGTGAGGAAAAACCATGTGACGCTCTCAGAAGATCCATGCACATGTTGCAATGTCTATTGAAACGTGCTCCAGAGAGGGTGGGGACAGCGTCACTAATTTGCAGACAGATAATAGAAACCAGCGCTTGGCACAGAACCTGGAAGGACAAAACCCCATGAAAAGTCCATTGCATTTTCCCTGCGGTGTCTATTAACCTTCAGAGGTTTGGCCCTGTAAAGCCGCGAAGCTGCGATCCAACAGAAAGTCCTCTGATACCAGGTGCAAGGTCACCCTCTGCATTCTCTCAGTAAGGACACTGTGGCTGTTCTTCTCCTTAGGCAATGATCCTTTGGGTTGGCTCACGAGCAGCGCTGCATTTGGGAACTGAAACGCTGCGCACCCTCCCCTAGTGCTGTTGGAGGGAGAAATCCTAGCGGTTCACAGGAGCTGCTTTCCCTCTTGGGAGCTACAGGGGAATTGCAACACTTCGAACAGGCTGTAATAAAAAAACCCCTTTCTGGCAGGCGGGAACTGGTACTTGCTGAATGCTAGAGGCTACGTTTTTAGCCAGGGCGTTTTAACAGTGTACAGATTTGAGAGGCTGAATGGACTTGTGTTTGAGACGCTAAATTAGCAATCAGGAGTTCTGTTCTTGGCTTTGCTACTCGTAGACTCTAAGGTCAGAAGGGACCATCATGATCATTTAGTGTTACCTGCACATTGCAGGCCACTCACTTGCTGGATGGCCTTAGAGGAAATTGCTTCCGCACTCAGTTTTCCCCATCTGTACGAGAGAGGATCCTTTCTTATAATCCTTCCTTATCTCACCTGGGCATTTGGGTTAAATTCGCTAGTGCATATGAGGTGCTCTGACGATGTGTGCTCTAGAAAAGTGTATAAATAAATAGGATTTTAGTTCCTGAATACCTGTTGCATTCAGTGCTACCTGCTGGCATCTCTCTCTCTGGGCAGGAACAAACTTAGGGGCCGGATCTGAAGACCTTTCTTTGTAACCTTGATTAAAGCAGCACCTACAGCAACTTGGATTGGGTCCGCATTCTGCAAAACCTGTCGATTTTCCTTGGACGTTTGGGGAGGTGGGAGATACGTGAGGGTTGGTGTGATAGGGAGGGAATTGGGGGTCTTTCATCTCTTTGGTTGGTTACTTTTGTGCTGTTGGCAAGGATTTGCTGCTTGGTTTTTATTATTTTGGTATGGACAGTTTTAAAGTTTGTCAAAAGCTCCTGGGCCATCACATCTATGATTATAAGTGGAAAGAGACTAATTTGTAATCTCCCTGGCACCTGCTTGTAGACTTAATGCAGGGAGCTCTGCATTCATCCCCATGCGTCAGCAGTCAGGCTGTAGGTGGTGACCTGGGAGCTTCTATAACCAAGTGCTGCAAAGTGGAATAAACTGTATTCCTGCCATATAGGGGAGTGGGGGTGTCAGAGGTTGAGGTACTATTGTGCTGGGAACAGTAATATGAATACTTGCTCTTATATAGTGCATTTCATCTGTAGATCTCAAAGCACTTTACAAAAGAGGTGGTATCCCCATTTTATAGATGGGGAGACCCATAAGTAGAAGGACCTGGAAAAGGAAGGTCTTATCCATTGATGTTTTCATGCCTCCAAGCCAGCCAGCTGTTACTCTGTGTAAAGTCAACTACTGACCTATCAAAAAAAAGAAAAGCTCCATTAGAAAAAGGAAGAAAATGAACCAAAAGATCCGTGCAATGGGGTGAAACTAATCGTGCCTTAAGTTGCACAGAACAAGGATACTGTAAAGTCTGGTTGTAAATGGAGTGCTTGCTGTTCCCTCCAGCCCGTTCGATGCAAAGAACCCTTTCCTGGCACCTGTTACCCTGAACCGAAAGCTGAACCAGGGCGGAGAGAGGCACCTCATGCACTTGGAATTGGACATCTCTGGCTCCAAAATCAGGTACCCCTCCGCTGGGGGATATTATACTGGGACAAGGTGTGGGACCATAAGTGAAGCTCGGGAATTCACGTGCCTGACTCCTCCCAGAGCTTAGATTGGAGTCTCACTATTGTGTTTTCTGGCACCAAGGTTCCTTTGTGGTTTTGGATCAGGATAACTTTGACCAATTTTTATTTTTCTCCTTGCAGTTATTTCCTCCTGTCTTAAATACTGTGTTGTTTAGTCACAGAACGGCTGCCGTGTTCCACCCCAGAGGTGGCTGTATGTGTCGGTCACAGTTGAGGAATCCCTGTAGCTGCAGTCTAATGGTCTTTGGGCTCCTTCTTCAGTAAATATGCTAGAAGAAGAGAGCATCATCATGGGATCAGTACACTCATCTTTCTGGCCTCACTTCAGACAGGGCTGTTCAGGCATCTCACTATAATGGGCTGGACCCCCTGAGATATCACCTGAGGCGCTAACGATATCACTGAGCCCCTCTTTTTCTGCCAGCCTGGGCCCCCTTGATCCCTGTCTTGCCGAGCCAGGCTCTTAAGCCTCCTCCAGCAAAGCTCACAGGCAGGGCCACCCCCAGCTGCGGAAGATACAGACGCTGAGATCAGCTCTGGGAGGACTCAGCTTAAGGGACTTACTATAGCACCCAGATGTTCACCCCCCTTGGGTATAAGGCCAAAGTTATATGAAGTTCGCCTCCTCCCTCGATGTGGAGGAAGGTATGCCCCCCTGTTAGAAATTGTATAAACTGGGTTATATTATAAACAATAGATAATTGTAACACTACAAAAAGGTGTATTTTAAGTGGATAAAGAGGTGGGAAACAGAGCAAAGCAGATTACTAAGAAAATTGTACAAGGCAGCAAACTAAGCTAGATTCCCTAAAGAAACTGGTTACAAATAATTCCTCACCCTAGATATTGGTTCAGGTAGAGTCATTCACAGGCCAGAGGTTTCTTTTCTAGCTTGGGCCCAGCAGTCCCCCCCCCTCCCCTTCAGTTCCAGTCCTTTTGTTTCCAGGTGTTTTCAAGTATCTCTTTTGGGTGGGGAGCAGAGGAGAAGCAAGCTGAAGACAATCGTTGTTTTCCTCCCCCACCTTATGTAGAATTTCCATAAGGCGGGAACCTTTTGTTTGATTCCCCCCATCCCCCTGTGGAACAGTTCAGCAGTCCAAGATGCAGGTTAGTATCAGGTGACCAGGTCACCTGACTCTACAGCGTTCATGAGTCAGTGTTGCATGTTGATATCCTTTTCCTCTCCCTAGGTATGAGTCTGGGGACCATGTTGCTGTGTACCCAGCTAACGACACATCACTAGTGAACCAGATCGGCGAGATTCTGGGCGCAGATCTGGATATGATCATGTCCTTAAACAACCTGGATGGTTAGTAGTCCAAACAAGAGCGATCGTTCCAGCAGCTGAGCGGAAATTTGCTCCTTTTCTTTGTGTCTCAGTTTTTGTGTGTTACTTATGCAGAGTGGGGTTATCCCTACATGAGACGAACTGAAGAACTGCTTTTGACCATGCTATCCGTATTTTTGCAGAGAAGGATCTTTTGGTTTGGATCATACTTGGCCTGAGGCTCTAAGAATCAGAGCAGTGGATTTGATCCTTCTGCCTTTCCATCAGGACCCAGATTAGGAAGAACTTCAGATCCTGCTGTCTCTGTGGGGCGGGGACCATATTTTTGTTCTGTGTTTGTACAGCATCTAGCACTGCTGAGTTTTGGTCTGTGACCGTGGCTTTTAGTGTCACCAAAATACAAATAATTCATCATCGTAGAAACATAGGGCTCAAAGGGACCTCAAGAGGTCGTCGGTTCCATCCCCCTGCACTGAGGCAGGATTATGGATAACTGGCATTACTACTGCCGAGTTTGAGTGCCGTTACGTAATGAAGTAGCTCCGTTGGGAACGTGCTACGCAGACGTATGCACAAGCGAGGCGACTGACATGCCCCTCGTTACAGGATACCAGAGCGAGTCTGCTGTGTCCTCCCCATACATTACCTACTCGGCAGCACCAGAACGGCACTTGCTCCCGAGCGCCATTATTTAATTAAAGGGTTCGTCTCTGCCTTGCGGCGTATTAAACTGTGCAGTGATAGGGCCCTTGTCACAGCACCGCACATCCTTCCACACATGGCTCTCGGCAGAGTCCGCCGAGGTTGCTGACCCTCCTCGATGGCACTCTGGCAGGACAGCCTGTAAAAGCTGTGAACGGACACCGTGTGGGGCGTGCGGCCTTTTCACCTGCAGTTCTCTTCTTTTGTGTTGGACAGTAGCCTAGTCTGGACTCCTTGAAAACAGGTTGTTATAGGGCAGGGACACCCAAGCTTTACCCTCGGAAGGGAACTTCCTGGTGGCTGAGAGCCAGGGCCGGCTCCAGGCCCCACCTTTCCAAGCAGGCGCTTGGGGCGGCATTCAGAACGGAGCGGCGTCCCCTCCTCTTCCGGGCACGGCGGCGACTGCTTGGGGCAGCAAAATTGGTAGAGCCGCCCCTGCTGAGAACCAGTGCCCCAGTTTCCAGACGGTGAAGCAGCTTGTCCACTTCTTTAACATGCAGGTAGTGACGACAAGCTCCCGGCCTGCAGGACCCTCTCTGTCTGTTACAGCCACTGGCAGCATACCTTGGACTCTTTCCTAGCTCACTAAACTGAATTAACTCCGGCTTATGTGACTGATCATCGGGGTAGTCACGGAGCATTTGTGCTGGTGATTAGAGTTAATTACACTTAGTGATTACAGATTCATTCAGAGGGTGCTTGATCCACTAGGCCACACTGCCTTCCGTGAAGTCAGTTCCCCTTTCTGTGTCTGTTGCCCCATAAATGTGGTCTTCCTCATGTACTTTCTTTCTAATGGCCTCACAGAGTCTCAACAGTGTTGCTGAATTTCAGCCTCCTCTTTTCCCTTCCCCAGAGGAATCCAATAAGAAGCATCCGTTCCCCTGCCCCACCACGTACCGGACAGCCCTGACCTATTATCTGGACATCACCAACCCACCGCGCACCAACGTCCTGTACGAGCTGGCTCAGTATGCCACAGACCCCAACGAGCAGGAACACCTCCGCAAGATGGCGTCTTCTGCTGCTGAGGGCAAGGTGAGCACGCCATTGCTTCTGTGGGCGAGGAGGCTGTGTAACAGGGATTCTCTCTGTATGGGCTGGTGGCGGGCTGTCTAGGAACTGCCAGACGGGTCTGTCTAGCTCAGTGTCCTCTTTCGGACACTGGCTGCTCCTGGATGGATAACGAGGGTGTAACCTGTTTGTAGAAGTTCCATCCTGTAACCTGTCAAAGGTTGGCTTATGCCTTGAAGTATGAGGATTTATATAGATGGGTTTTTTTGGTAAATATAAAATATTTTACCATTTGTAATGTAACTGGGGCTGAACTAATTATCCATCTATGTGTCCAAGGCTGACGATATGTCATGGCAAAACGAGGGGGGAAATCATACTTAAAGTAAATAATGGCCCACAAACCTTGTAATTGGTTTTGCCACTGGGAAAGGGTTAACTAGGTGTCATGAGTAGTTAAACCCCTGAATATCCACCTGAGACAGCCAGGTGTGTACAAATCCCTAGTAGAGCCTTGGGCAGCCGGAGCTAGACAGGGGAGAAAAAGACAAGGAAGGTTTCAATGAGTGTGTGTGTTTTGGTTCTTTCCCAAAATGTTGGCATTAGGAGCCTAAATCTCATTGACCTTCAGTGAGACTCAGGCACCCATGTGTCTCAGTCACTTCTGGACACGGGACTTTGGAGCCTACGGGTCAAAGGTATTTTTGAAAATGTTGCCCCTAATCTTTGTCAATGCCAAGTGTCCGGGTGAAGGTGGAGAGGACAAACAGAGGCCTTAGCGGTGGCTTGCCTTGGTTATTAGGAGAGAGGCTGGGTGAACTCCAAGAGTCCTATCTTGCTTGGTCTGTGACAGTGGCCTGTGCCACGTGACAGGGCAGGGAGGTAGCGCCGGGTGGGGTGGGGTGGGCGGAGGAGTGTTCTGGGGGAGGAGTTAAAGGCCGTGAGTGCAGGTATCGCTGGGAGTGGCTTTGCTGATGGCAGGCAGAGTGCTTCCACCTGCCCTGCAGAAATAACTTTCCCCAGCCCCATCCATCTCGGTGCAACTCCCCGTGTTTCTGCTACAATTTCCTCTCCTGCGCTCCCTACACAGAGCTGCTCCTTCATTGTGCCAAAGGATGGGTGCAAGGAAACCGGGTGACTGATGTCCGATAGTCACCGATTTTAAGTCCACGAGGGATGATGATTATCCTCTAGTCTGACCACCTGTGTCTCACAGGCCATAGGATTTCACCTTTGCCTTGTTCTCCTGTCTACACTCTCTGTGCACCTAGACGCTGTACCTCAGCTGGGTTGTGGAGGCCAGAAGGAACATACTAGCCATCCTGCAGGATGTATCTTCTCTCCGACCTCCCATCGACCACCTCTGTGAGCTGCTGCCCCGCCTGCAGGCCCGTTACTATTCGATTGCCTCCTCTTCCAAGGTGAGTCCTTTCCCTATGCCTCCAGGAGCTGGGCAGTCTATCAGCCCTGGGGAAGGACTTTGTTTCTTGGCATGAGCAACTGAGCAACCCTGAGAGAGTCCCCTCCCTTTCCAACCCCCCAGCCATCCTGACAACTCCCTGCATGGTTGGGCACCTGGGGGCTGGGAAAGGAATGCAGGGATTTCCCCTTTAAGGAAACACATCCTGTGTGCTTGGTCTTCCACATGTGGGATGCAGAATCAGTGTCCCTATCACAGCCCTGAGGCTGCCTCGCTCTGCTCCTGCTGCTCTAGGGCCCTGCTTCCATGGCTTGGTAACTAGGTGGATTCTGGAGGTAAATACTCCGTGCCTTGGGATTGTTTTTGTTCGCACTTTGTACCAGGAGCTCAGAATGGGGCAGAGCCCTACACCTCAGCTCTGAGTGTGCACCGGGCTGAAGCCGTAGCTGAGACTCAGACTGACGTCAGGTCTGCTGCAGTAATAAGTTTTCTGCGAGGCTGGAGATGCCGTTACAAGCTAGCTCAGGTCAACGGGATGCTGAATTGAAAATGTCCTGAGCTGTCATTTGGAGAGAAGCAGAGGAACAGCCCGGCCCAGGGATCTGACATGGTATTGCGGGAGAGGTGCATCCTCTGGAACAGAGCACAGCATCCTTTCAGTTACACATCCCGCACGCCGATGCAGAGCTCCCGTTCCCCCAGATAGCCCCTGCTGACCTAGCTCCGTCCCTAACTCTAACAGAGAAAACTTGGGGTGCAGCAAAACCTCTCCTCGCCTCAAAGCTCAACTACTTCCTCACTCCTCCTGCAGTGCAGGGGGACGGGGAATGGGATCTGTCACAGGATTCAGTTAGAGAGCACGTCATACCAGCACTCCGCCTCCTCCCCGTCCCGCTGGGCAACTAACCCGGCTAGTGATACCGAGATCAGCTCACCAGGACTCTGGCATTCCTCCCAGCAGGGGCACTAAAGGACAACTCCCTAGAGGATAGAGACTAGCACGGGGGTAGTCAAGAGGGGGCCAAATCTGGACCCCCAGTTGCTTTTGCACAGACCCCCAACATTTTTTATTTACTTATTATCATAATTATTATTATTTTCTCCGGACCTTGGCTAGACCATGACCAAGAAATTTGGACCGTGACAAAAAATAATTGATTCCCCGATAGCGTCTCGTCCTGGTGCTCGGATTTCACGCAGCCTGTGGCATGTCTGCTCTGCAGTCAGAGGTGTGACGGCATCGGGAGCTTTGCTCTAGGGAGCCTGAACAAATCGTAGCAGGGAAGCTGTGGCAGCATGGCGGCGGTTGCTGAAGTACAAACCCAGGGTCCCAAGCGGGCTGGCCTGGCCCATGCCGCCATGGCTTCACCGCTGTTGTTACTGGAGCTGGCTAGATCAAAGCTGGTGCTGCAGTCACACCTCTGGCTGCCATGGGGACGTGCCCTGAGTGGAATATAGAGAGGCAAAATTGTTCCCATGCAGCCCTGTAAGATAGAGGGGGTATAAATTGTGGCTTTAGCAGGAGGTGCACTTGGGTTGTTATCTGAGATCCTGAGAGCCGCAGGAAAGAGTGGCTTGCACCAACTGTTCTCGTTAGCTTCCCCGCTCCAGTGGGTGCTGGTTCTCGTCTGTGGACAGCCAATGGGACTAATTCACCCTCCCGTGCCGCCCAGAAGCCAAATGGGTGACCGCATTTCTCTAAAGCTGGTGCCAATTTTGGTTTTGCTCCAGGTTCACCCTCACTCCATCCACATCTGTGCTGTGGTTGTGGAATACGAGACCAAGTTAGGCAGGGTGAACAAAGGAGTGGCCACTACCTGGCTGAAGAACAAGGTGCCCAATGAAAACGGGCACAAGTTGACGGTGCCCATGTACGTCAGGAAGTCACAGTTCCGGTTGCCTTTCAAATCCAGCACGCCCATCATCATGATCGGGCCCGGGACTGGGATCGCCCCGTTCGTTGGCTTCGTTCAAGAGCGGGCCTGGCTGAAGCAGCAAGGTGAGCGAGCAGCCGCGGTGCCAGGCGGGCTGGTCCCGGAGCAGCCATCGATTGGATGTGCTGCCTTGTCGCTACAGTGCCAATGTCTAGTGACAATCGCATGTTGGCTGCCAGAGGTGGGCCCCCTCCCGTACACCTGTGGCTCCTTCCTGAGGGGGCTTCAAAAGTAGCTCTCTGTAGCATGTGTGGGGGCCCCCCCCGGGGGGGAGACTTTCAGCAGCCGTAAGGGTTTGGAGTTTTTGAAGGTTAGAATGTAAAAGTCGGTCTGTTACGGGAGCATTGTTCTGATTATTTCCTGTAACCCCTGCCCCCCCCCCCAACTCCGCGCACCCGCCAATCACCTAGGTCAGCACGGTTTGCTGCAGGCTTGTAGGGGGCACCCCCTCCCACCTTGACCTGCGGTGACTGACGGCACCACGGGCCAATCACGGCTCTCTTGTTATCGTGGGGCTCTATGGAGCATCCCTGGGGTGCGCTTAGGGCACCAGCGGCAGCCCATCCTGCGTTCGCTTGCAACCCTGGGAAGCTGCACGACACCTGGGCTGGGGTCCCCTGGGATAACGAGGGGCCCCCTTGCCCTACCTAAATGGTGCCACGTCTCATCATTGTAACATCTGGTCCAAAATACCTTTTCCCCCAGGTTCAGCTCCTACCCCAGCACACACGGCTGGGGGGAGCAGGTCCCTTTTCCTCTGTGGGCCCAGCCGCTGGGCGGCACTTTGGTCCAACACTCACAGCTGCGCCATTCAGTGCCAGGAAAGCAGGAGGGAGCGTTGCTTCCCTTTTCTGCAAGGGGATACAGGCAGCATGGTGGGTCTGTCAGCGCTGGGGAGCTCAGGGAAGGTGGGTCTGACCAGCGTTGTGGCTGGTCTGGAGGTGCCCACGCCCAGAAAGGAGGAAGCACCCGGTGGTGTCAGTAGCGGAAGAGGTTTCAACTCAACCTCCTGCGATTAGCTGCTGCCCTGCCGCTTTCACCGAACCTGGCTCGCGCTTGCGGAATCAGTGGCAGATGGAGCTGGATAACGGCGCTGTAGAGACCTGGCATGGGTTGGAGCAGGAGGTTGTGTGGCTGCAGGGGTGGAAGGTTGCTGCCTTCTGCTAGCCCTGGTGGGGTGGAAAGATGGGCCACCAACCTGGCTTCGATTCCCTGCTCCGCCACAGACTCCCTGCGTGACCTTGTCCAAGTCACTTAGGCCCACGTCCCATTGCAAGCGGTGGAAGTTAGGTGCGGTGCTCGGACACGATGGCAGCAGGGGCCGTGGAAGGCCGGTCAGTAGCTGGCTAGCCGGCCATGTGGAGGTGACGGGGATGGGCTGACAGCTGTCCCGTTGGGTCCCAGGGAAGGACGTTGGCGAGACGGTGATGTACTATGGCTGTCGCCATGAGAACGAGGACTACCTGTACCGAGAGGAGCTTGCCCAGTTCCACAAGGAGGGGGCCCTCACCCAGCTCAACGTCGCCTTCTCCCGGGACCAAGCCCAGAAGGTAAAGCCCAGCGAGGAGGCTCCAGTCCCTCCCTCCCTCCAGCCCATGTGTGGGCGGCTGGACTCTTGCAGTCGGGTGGGTGGTGCGGGAGGAGCTGCCAGCCCCAGCCCAGGCTACTTGTCCAACCGGTCCTGGCAGCATCGGCCTGTACCCCGCACTTCAGAGCGAGGCGGCCCCACGCCCTGCAGAGAGCACCTGGCTGGGCGTGAATGGGGAGCCCCAGTCTGCACTCCCGCTTGGCTTGAGAGCCTGCCCTAATGCCGCCACCCCCCAGGCTGTTGCCGGAGTGGGTCAGGACTGCAGCTTTGGTTCCCTCCTGGCGGGACGTGCGACGGCTCCGGGACGAAGCCGCCAGCTCGGCTGCGGGCCGAGTTCGGCGCATGGTATCGGCATTGCTCCCTTCCTCGCTATTCTAAACCCAGCTGCCTTTGTTCTGCCAGGTCTACGTTCAGCACTTGCTGAAGAAGAACAAAGCGGGGGTCTGGAAGCTCATCCACGAGGGGAACGCTCACATCTATGTGTGCGGGTAAGGCCAGCCTGGGGCACTGCTGGGCTTCTCGCAGGCTCAATTGCATCGGGGCCTTTGGTTGGACGGTTGGATAATCCGGGGTTTCCCATTGCGGGGCCCTATTCTCAGGGGGGCTGAGTGGGGGCTGGCATGTGGCTTTACAAGGACCTGGCACCTCGATTTACTTTAAGGGATGCACCATGTGGCTGGACTCTCACTTCTTAACCCATACATTGGGTTCGTTGACGCTCCCCTGTGTGAAAGGGGAGGAACAAAGAGCTCGCCTCGCACGCATGGGGGCTGGCACCTCAGAGGCCGTGGCGTCATCCCCGTCACGGCCAGCAGCGTCCCTGTCTCCCAGTCTCTGTCCTGTGCTAGGCTCCGATCCCGGCCATCCAGAGCCCCAGTAAAGTCACGGGAGTGCTGGGCTTGAGGCCTTGGTATGGGTGCGGACAGGAGCCCTGGGTTCGGTCCCCAGCTTCCCCTCCTGCCGTGTCCCCATACGTACAGCTCCGAGCCCAACTGTGTCTCTCAGGTCCCAGCCGCCACAGGCTGGGAATAGAGCCATTGCAGAGAGTCCCCAGAGAAGGGCCTTGCTGAGCTAATGGGGTGTGGGGAGTTGAACCAGCAGCTCCCTGGGCCAAGGGCTGCTGGCTCCGTCAGTGCCCACAGCGGGCCTGGCGCTCTGCAGCCAGGGCCTTGCCCCTGGGGAGGGCTGAGCACTTCATGAGGCAATCAGAGTATCCTGGGCTAACTGGGAAACGCCTGGGGAAGGAGAGGGGGCTGGGTGGGTTCCAGGGAGGGAGGAGAGCTGGCTGCAAAGGGGCCAGGGCCAGGTTCAGTGAGTGATGTGCTCCAACACCTCCCCTCCTCCCAATGCAGCTGGGGGTGGAATAACAGCAGTGTGGTCTGAGCACAGGCCTGGGAGCCAGGAATTCCTTGGTTCTCCCCCAGCTCTGCCATGGACTTGTCAAATAGCCTTTGGCAAGAGACACCTCCCCTCTGCTGATTTCCCAGGATGTAAACTGGGGCAGCTCCTTGAACTGCAGGGGTGCTGTGCAGATTAGTGAGCGCTTGCCGGTGCTGGGCCAACGTGCGCTGCTGGCCCCGGGGGGTGCTTGCCGGTGCCGGGCCGACGCACGCTGCTGGCCACAGGGATAGTTGCCCACACTCCATAATGTGGAGTTTACCTGCTCAGTGTCCCTCTGATCTCTCAGCAGCCAAGCTCCTTAGACCTAGGACTGATCCTGGCTAGGCCAGATGCCGCTGCAGGTGCCCACATGGCAGCCTGGTATTGCTTGGGCCCAAACTAAGCCACCTTCCTCAAGGGAGATGCACAGCTGAGGCCTGGCACCAGAGGCTGGGGAGCTGGTACCTTCCTTTCCAGTCTCTGCCCAGCCTGGCCTCCACAATGTCTCGCCTTTTCCCAGGGCTACGGAGCCGAGGAGCGATGCCTGCCCTCACTCACACCCTCTCTGTGCCCTTGTCATTCCAGCGATGCTCGCAACATGGCGCGGGACGTGCAGAACGCCTTCTACGAAATCGTGGCCGAGTTCGGCAGCATGACCCAGCCCCAGGCTGTGGACTATGTAAAGAAACTGATGACCAAGGGCCGCTACTCCCTGGATGTCTGGAGCTAAGCCGGGCTCAGAGGCTGGAAAGAGGAAGGATTCCCAGACGGCTGCTGGACGGGAGACGAATGGCCCCTGCCTTAGCCATTCCAAGAACGTGCCATGAAACTAAACTAAACCTTAGATCCCCTTACCTGGTAGTCGCCCTTCTATACCCACCTCCCCTTCCGCTAGACAGCTCTTGAGAGCCCTGCGAAGGGCGGGGCAGGAACTGTTGGAACCCCCCTGGGTTTTTTGGAGGGAGACGCATCTCCACTGAGATGGACGGGCTCGCCCCAGGAATCAACAGAAGCCAGGGCTTGATAAACTGCTCCTTGGTTCCCCTCTCCTGCGGCGCAGGGCAAGGCCAGTTAACTGGCAGGGCTGCCCGCTCTGCTTTGCCGTCTGTGCAGCGAACCATCTGCAGGACGCTCACTCCCTTCTCTCTCCGGAGCCGCTTTGTGCTCCTGTGGAAACTGTGACATGGGGGCGAGGGGCTGCCCTTCCTGTACCCGGCCCCTGGCTTCCAGCCTACCCCCTCTGGGCCCAGTCGCATAGACCCCAATGCCCCCTTCTCTCCCAGGGAGCTGCCTTGGTTTTTAACCCGTTCTTTGGGGACAATCTGGTGCAAGCAGAGGTATGCCCCCTGGCTGCTGCACGTGGGGAGCCCAGTGCTGAGGGCAGCGAATTGGAGAGAGGGCCTAGCTCCCTCGCAGGGCATCAGAAGGTCTCCACTGGCAGAGGCCAGGATGCTGAGTCTGTGTCTCCCTTGCCCCACGAGACTTCCAGCACTCGCTGCTTGCTGTGATGGGGCAGCCTGGGGCCTTGCCCACCTTTGAAATTCTCCTGTGGTCTGAAACCAGCCCTGGCTAGCTGAGAGCCTGCGCTGCCTACCCTGGCCTCAGTGTGTACTGGGCGCCACCCAGGCCAAGCCCCTGCTGGTGTAAACTCCTGCCCAGCCTGTGCTTGGAGGCCTCTCTGGTCCGACTAGAGACCCGTTAGCGCCTAGGGAGAGCTGTGCCAGTCCGGCTCTGCTGCGAGGCTTGCCCCAGCCCTGGCCTCGGCTCGGTCCCACAGGCCCTAGCAGTAAGTTGGCTGGTGGGGGTGGGGAGCTGGAGCCAGGGCTGCCTCCCAGTGGCTTAATGCTCAAGTCTCAGCAAATTGGGGACTTGCTTTGTAAGGTCCCAGCCCAATGACAGAAAATCCCTCTGGAAGCCTGGGCCCTGGAAGGGGGAGGATGGCTCCCTCCTGAGCAGTCACTAACCTCCCTGGCCTGGGGTTTGTCTTTGGGGAACCACTGCTGCGATGCTACCAGGTCAGGGACTTAACGGCAGCGCTTGCCTCCACTGAACCTTGTTTCCTTAGTCAGAGGGGACAGGAGATAGCCAACGCCGCCTCCCTGTGAAAAGGGGGAGTAATTCCAGCTACTGGCCTGCAGGGGGTACTCATGTGCAGCTGTAGTCAGCCTAGGGGAGCAGGGAGGAGAACTGGGTCCCCCCTGCTTAGTTACATGAACTGAACCCCCCTTTGCAGCTTCTCCAGGCCTAGTTTTGGTATCTGTGTTTTGTGTTCACCCCTGCTTGAGATCTGCTCATGGAAAAGCTCTCTCAGCCTGTCCCATGAATGTAAATACTTTAAATATACTGTCCCCTTGGAATAAAACAGGGTCTTTATTTTGCCTCGTGCTTCATTTCAGCGAGAAACAAACCCGAGAGGCAAGAGCTGCAGGCTGCTGCCACACCCTGTCACAAAGCCTCCATTGCCAGGGGAAAGGTCACAAGGCACTCCTTCCTTGCGAGAACAACTTTACAGGTGGCCTGCCTATGCTTCAGGTGCTAATCTGGGACCAAAAGACCCAGCTGCTGTCCCCTGCTTTGCCACAGCCTTTCCTAGGAGACCTTGGGCATGTCACTTAGTCTCTTCTTCCCTCTTTTCGGTGCAAGACTCTGCTGGAGAGATGGGAGGAGGGATCTGAAGTGCATCATGTCTCCAGGGTGTTTAAAACTCACTTCCCAAGGTGGCTGTTTCCTTGGTACCTGTGCATGCAGGCTCCACCTGACCTCATTTTCCAGTAGCAGTGAACCTGCAGCATGGGCTAGTCCCACATACAGCCCTAGGCAGACTTGAAGGGCAGCTCACTGCTGGGATCAAAGCTAGCTCAGGTCTGGCTCTACACAATGCTGGCACAGCCAGCCCTCAAGAGCTCAAACTGATTCAGTTTTTCTCACCTCATGGGCTGACTTTGGGCCTCTCTCCTTCCCTCCATACCCACCTCTGTTCATTCCCAGGCTGGCTGAGAGCTCCGCTTTCTTTCCAAACAGGCCTCCAGGGGAGCGCTGATGGAAAACAACCATGTAATTGCAGCGAGTCACGTGTTCAGCAGTATGATTAACACTAAGGGCAAGACCAAACCACGTAACTTCCCCCGTCCAAAGGAAAGGGGGACTGGCACTAAGGCTGCACGTGGGGCAGTCACACCTGGGCTAGCTTGAACAAGACTAGCTTTGCACAGAGCCCTCCCCTGGCAGGGCGTCTTCCCCTTGCCAGTCTAGATTTCATGCTGGGGGGGTAGGGGGGAGGTGTAAACCTAAGCAACGCTTACCCCTGCCGAGTTACCCCTCAGCAACAGAGCTCTGGGCAGAGGCAGTGAGAATGGACAGGGCTCCCCCAAGCCTCTTCCTTCCTTTGAAACAACATCTCCTCCCCCCAGCCTGGAACTACCCCGCCAGTGGATTGAGAGTGGTTGGGGTCAGAGACAGCTCCATCACAGGAAGGGATGGCCCCCTTCCTCCCTTTATTTTGGATGAACTTCCTGTCAAAGGAGGCACAGACATTAATACAGGTACAACAATTCCCTCCATGACATGTCTTCCGCAGAACCAAAGCTCGTTAGCTGATCAGACTTCCCCCAGCAGATCACAAGCCAGCCAAGGACAGCTGCTCCAGCAAGGAGGTGGGAGACCAGTCCAGGGAACCTGCTGGCTAGGAAGTCAGAGCTCAAGTCCTCAAGCTACTTTCTAGCACCAGCTACACACACACACACTGTGTCCTGTATGGTTTTTGGCATCTCTTCCCTCACTCTGCTTCTGCTGCCCAATGAATTGATTTGGGAGGGTGTTTGTGTGGAAGGGGAGGCTGGGGTATTAGGCTGCAGCAGTTCCAGGATGCCCTTAAAGCATCCTGCTGGAGTAGAGAGGATGCAGAGCAGCCCTGGGCTGAAGACCAGCCGCCACCTCTGTAGTAAAGAGGTCAGAACAGTTACAAAGCATGTTTTCTCCATCACTCGAAGGAGATAAGAGCCAGGCCTTAGGGAATCTGCTCCCACGATGGGGCTGGGAGAGCCTGGTTCCCGCAGCCGGAGTACTTCCACTGGGGACTCAGCACCAATAAGGAGCCCGTTTCCATGCAAAGGGGATGGTTGCTGAGCCGTTCACCCCTTGTGTCTCAGCAGCACTGTCCATGGGAAGGGGAGCTGGGAATAAGGTCAGGGCTGGGGGTTGCTCCCTCCCCCTCAGGCCCAGCTGTCCACACAGGAGTGTTCAGAGCAGAAGCCAGGTAAGAGGCTTTGCCCCACCAGCTGTAACGGGGAATTCAGTTCCCAGGTTACTTGGAGCGAGCTGGGTATTCATGGTAGTGGTTTGGCCTGACCCCTAAGAAAGGGGTCACATTAACATCAGAGCTGAGCACAGGTGGGTCTGGAGTAATTGCCCTAGTCACCCCAATTCTGGAGCAAAGGGGGGGGGTAATGCAGTCCCTGCCGCTTCGGGGGCAGAGTGGGACAATGACTGCCTGGCTGGCCACGGTGCCCTCAGGGGAGATTGCTCCCATCCTCCTGCATCGCAGCAGGTGTGCAGCGGCTCCAACTAAAGGCAGCATTTCCTGGGGCCAGGATTGGGAGGGAGCCTCGCACCAGTCAGGTGCGATGGACTTCAGCAGCCTGGTTTACTGGATCAGACACATTCCCCTGAGGTTGGCTGCACAGGCCTGCCTCTGAGGAACGGGCATGTGTTCAAGGGATGAGGAGGAGAGTCGGATAGCAAAGCCTGGACTATGGCTAGGAGATGGGGGGAGGGGGGGGTTGGAGAGAGCGAGACACCCCCCCCCCCCCATCAGCTCCTCTTCTCACTTGGCCTTCGCGTCTTGCTTCTGGTTCTGGAATTTCTGGTGGACGACCCGCAGGGTGGTGGTGAAATTCCCCGCGAAGAGCACGAAGAAGGGGAGCCCGCACATGAGAACCTGAGAGTTTGACAGGAGACACTAGAATTAACCCACCAGCAGGAGCCCAAGAGGGGTATTGAGCTGGGATCTCCGTGGCCAGCGAGAGGGGCCACGGCCCATCCATCACACTGCTCTGTCTCTTCCCTGCAGCCTGGCTCAGACCTCTCTGCATGTCTCGGCTGCTGCATGTGGACATATTCCTGCCTCAGCACGGGGGGAGGGACTAGACCTGAGCTCCTTGTGCTGAGGGCACAGGTGGGCCCTTCACCCCTGTTCTGACCCCCCTAAGGGGAGGGAGGAAGCCTGGCGACCAGACTGCACATGCCCCAGCTAAGTCGGCAGCAGGCAGTGAATGAGGAGAGGAGATTGCCAGAATCTGTGATCCTTACACAGCAGAATGGCTGCACCCACCACACACAAAGTAATTTCCCTCTTGCCTGGGCATCTTGCTGGGAGGAGAAGGGCTGGCAGCGAGAGGGGCCCGGGGGCGGCAGTTTCCAAGGTATCATCTCACTTCCCTGCTCCACCACCCCACCCTCCATGCTCCCTTCGCCTGGGTCGCTCGCTCACCTGCCATTCCTTGCACTGCGGATGTCTGACCAGACGGAAGAGGGTGACCGCGTTGTAAAGCTGCCAGAACTGAAGGAGACACAGGGTTAAGGGACGGTTTTCACAGAGACTCATGTAAGATGGTCCCCAAGCGTGGACGTGTCCCAGAGCAGCACCATGGGCCTTGCCTCCTGCTACCCAAATACCTAGCCTGAGGCACTTGGCAGCTCTTCCTGAACATCGCTGGGATCTGGGGTAGCTCTGCCTCTGAAAAGCCCAACTCACTAGGCAAGAGCAGGTGCTGCTCAGCAGAGATGCTGGTTTAAGTATTTAAGGAGCCTTGTTTTATGCACATCTCCAGCCGGAGGGGCCGTCCCGCTCCCCAGCTTCCTGCACCTGCCAGACGCCAGCATCTCCCAGGCACTCTGCTCGCACTAACGCGGCCTGGAATCTCTCCTCCCCTGGCACCTGGGCGGTAGCACGCTAGCCCATGGCGTTCGTGCCCCTTCCCTCTCATCTGTCTCCAAGGCTGATGGAATTAGGAGCGAGCGCTGCTAAACCCCTGAGAATCCCCGATCCTTTACAGCAGTGCTTTCTGGGCGGCACAGCCCCCTTGCCAACAGGCAGAGAGCCGCCCCTGGCGGACGGTGCGTTCTCACCTGGCCAAAGAAGAGGAACGGCAGCAAGAAAGTAAGGCCCCTCCACATCCACGACTGGAAGCCCTCTGCAGAGACAGGACATGAAGGGGGCCTTAGAACTCCGTGCCTTACAGCTGTGAGTACGGGGCTGGATTCAGCCAGCCCCAAGAGCCATGCAGCCTTGGACACACAAGGGACACAGACATCAGGGACAACCCTGGTGTCCTAAAGGATCCCACAGCCCCGAGAGAGGCGTTAGCTTCCAGGCAGGGCCGCCCGCTGTAGGAGACGGCCTTTATTGGGTGAGCAGCATCTTAGAGAGCCAGGGAAGAGTGCTGGAAAGCAAGGAGGGGTGCGTGTGGCATGCTGCGGGTTAACGGTAAGGCGGCTCAAAAGTTTCTATCTACAAGAAAACTTGATTGCAGAAAATTTTAAAAGGAACCAAAATCTTCCCACTCCAACTGGTGCCAGAGCCTCATGGGAGTTGTAGTCCAGAGGGTCTGCACTCCCTTTCGCCTCTCTAGGCTGGGACCTCTGGCAGGACTACATCTCCCGTGATGCACAACTGCCGGGGACCCCTCTGAGGCGTGCCCTCCTCGCACTCGGAGGGGAGAAGCGGTGCACCGTAGGAGGTGTAGTCCAGCCGGAGAGCGACTGAGCCAGGTACCCTAGAGAAACATGCCCAGTGGCCCCAAGTGAGGCAGACATTTGCGGGATGACCCAACCCCAGGCTGCTCGAACTGCTACCCCTGAAGCTGTTGGTTCTCCTCCCATGGCCCCATCCCAGACACCGCTGACCCCCCCCGGGGAGTGCTTCACAATACTGAGCAAGCTGTTCTCCCAGTTAGCAGAGGCGACCCCGAGTGGGGGGGGTCTTCCGCCCGCTCCCCTGGAGCTCGGGGCAGCTCTAGGAGCAGAGGCTAATGCAGCAGGCAGGCGTCGGTCTGCTCAGCCTGTGTGCTGCCCCTCCTTGGCGAGGCTGGGGACACAGGGCTCAGATGGGTTCAGCTGTGGGATGGGAGGGCGGGACCCTGCTCACCTGGACCCGTTGGTGATTAAGATGCACTCGCGGATGGTAAGGGTACAGTAGTACCAGACCAGCAGGAAGTTAAAGACAGCGTCCGTCACCCTGTCACACCCCGTAACGCCAGCGAGGGGAACACCAACAGGCGCCTCAGGGTGAGAGCAGCAGGGCTGCTCCGGCCCTCAGATGGCCGACGGGCTGCACTGAGTTTGAGGATGGGCCAAGCTGCCCCACGGGCACGAAGTCAGGGTCGGGGCCTGATCGTTTCCAAGCCAGCGTCTCTGCTGCTACGACAGCCAGCTGGGAGGTAGATTGCAGCTTCCCGCCTGGGCAGGCAGCGGCGGGCTCTGTTTCGGCTTTGGCCACTGGTGGGAAGACGGGAAGCAACTTACCCACGGTGAGATCCATGTTGTGCCTCTCCCCCAGGGCCCTCAGCCGGTACAGGCACCCGCTCTGGTAGTAATACTGGAGGAACTGCACAAAGCCTGCGAGGAGAGGAGAGCTTCAGGGAGGGGAGATTCCTGCCCAACTGCCAGCGTGCAATCCACTGGCCTGCAACAGGCCCTCCCAGCTCCGGGCAGTGCCCTACGCAGGCCAGGCCAGTGCTCCGTCACCGCTTCCTGAGCCTGCGGAGCGCCAGGGAGGAGAAACCGTCTCATTGCCCCTGCCGGCCCATCAAAGAACCCCCTGTAAGCGCTGTGGACCCAGAGGGCATGGCTGAAACAGGCCAACAGGAGAGGGACGCAGCCGCCAGCCCGCTGCTCTGGGGGCTCCCGCTGGGCGGTTCCAAGCAGCCCTGGTTTCCAAAGCCCAGCACCCAGGCTTGCTCCCCGCCCACACAGGGACACTCACTCTGATACATGGAGAAGGAGAGGAACTGGTTTCGGAACATCTGGTACATGAGCCCGTCTGGCCTGCGGGAGAGAAGAGACGGCTGGGGATGCTCAGCGCATTACCGCGTAGGGAGAGCCCTGCTGGCATCAGCCTGCTCCATGGGTTTTATCTGCGTGTGTCCCACAGCCCCATCCCCTGGCTACTCCCTTTCAGGCCCCAAGGGCTGCAAGGACCCAATTTAGGGGGAGGTTGGCAAGAGCCCGCCCAGGTGAAATCTGTCCTCTAACTCATCGTGACCCAACTGTGAACCAGGGAGGAGAGGGCAGGATGATGCAGGATCCACAGCGACAGGCAGAGATGGAGACTCACCAAGTCAGCATGACGCCTGAGAGGAAGGTAGAGACGTAGTGATGGAAAACCCACCAGCCTTTGATTCTGGGGGATCAGAGAAGAGGGAGACAGACTTAGACTCCCACACAGGTGGGGCTAGGTTTGCAAGGGAGGTGAGGGCCAGGCTGGCCCCTCCAGCCAGAGGAGACAGGCCATCAATTCCCCCCCGCTCACAAGGAGCGGGCAGAAAACAGGGCCAGGGCAGATGCTCAGCTTGGCACGAAGCAGTGACTGCCGTGCCCAGGCTGTAATCAGCAAGCCAGGCTGCTCGAACTGCTACCCCTGAAGCTGTTGGTTCTCCTCCCATGGCCTCATCCCAGACACCGCTGACCCCCCCCGGGGAGTGCTTCACAATACTGAGCAAGCTGTTCTCCCAGTTAGCAGAGGCGACCCCGAGTGGGGGGGGTCTTTCGCCCGCTCCCCTGGAGCTCGGGGCAGCTCTAGGAGCAGAGGCTAATGCAGCAGGCAGGCGTCGGTCTGCTCAGCCTGTGTGCTGCCCCTCCTTGGCGAGGCTGGGGACACAGGGCTCAGATGGGTTCAGCTGTGGGATGGGAGGGCGGGACCCTGCTCACCTGGACCCGTTGGTGATTAAGATGCACTCGCGGATGGTAAGGGTACAGTAGTACCAGACCAGCAGGAAGTTAAAGACAGCGTCCGTCACCCTGTCACACACAAAGCGGACGGTGAAGAGGGGGAGCAGAGCAGGGTCTCTGCGGCTCCACCGGGGACCAGCCAGACATCACTGCAGGGCGACTCTGAACGCCCCCCTGCAGGAGCGTTCAGCCCACGTGCAGAGCAACAGCTTGGGGCTGAGTGTCTGGCTCACTAAACAGCTTCCGCTACCACGGAACTGCTGGGAACAGCCACACCAGCGCCGCAGGGAGGCAGGGATGCCACGCAACGCAAGCTCTCTGGTGCATTCCCACTCCTGACCCGCATGCTGCTGAGAGGCAAGCTCTGGGATAGCCTCTAGGGGCGCGGCATGGCAGGACGCAGGAAACAAGTGCAGGGAATGTAAGACTGAAACAGCCTAACCTGCTCACATAAGGTCAAGCTCTTTGGGAAGGACTTGAAAGCAGTGGTGTGGCTCTGGAATAAAGACAGGAGCACACTTTTGAGAAGCCAGGGGTCTGAGCGCACCCCCGAATGGGTATTTCCAAGTGTGCAGTTATTTCAGTGGGGGCCACCAGCTCTGGTCTCAGTGGGGAGCTGCTCCAGCCACACCGAGAGGAGTGGAAGCCTCTCATGTTAACCCAGGTGCTGAGACAGGTACAGCGACACCGACTGGCCAGGGTGTGAGCATGCAAAAGGGTCACCAGCTATTTGGAGAGTCCTGATTCCCGAGCCAGTTACAGATCTTTGACCCGGTCCAGCCATGCTACCCCTTGGATGCTACATCCCTCACGCCTTTAATGAGATGGAAATTTACTGCAGAACAGACACCAGGAAAATCCCACCCTACTGTGGGGTGGCAACTTGTGGAGGTGCCTTGTTCAGCACCTGGATTGCTCCCCCAGGTGGGTACCGTTCCCCATGGCCGGCCAGCCTCAACCACATCAGAACCCAGTGGGCTAGCAACAGACACACTGCATGCCTGCAAACCGGATCCAAGCTGGGGAGACGTGACCGTCCCCTTTCCAGTCCGTTGTCCAGGATCCCATCTCCAGCCCACCAGGGGAATGTTTCAGCTCAAGATCTTGTTACCTCCAGCAATCCTATTGTAGCCCCACAGTCCTTGCAGGATCCTATAGAGGCACCAGTCTGCAGTTTGGTTCCCATCATTCGGGGATGGCAGCCTGAGTCAGAAGCTACTCAACCCGGCACCTTCCACATGAGCCCCATGCACCTCACCTAAGCAGTCTGTTAGCAGACCCTGCTTTCAGCCCAGGAAATGGTCTCTGTTGTAAGGCTGCCCACATGGCTTAGTGAGCATCTCGCTACAGACTCACCTGGAGTTGAGAAGGAACCTGCAGGAGAAGGAGATGATGAGCAGGATGATGGTGAGGTAGAGCTTGAACTTCTCGTACTCATCTTTATAAGCAAACCTGCAGGGAAGCACAGCGAAGGGTCATGGTGTGCGGAGAATAAGCCCAGTCTTCAGGCAACGATCAGTGGACAAGGGCCATCTCCCGGAGTTACAAAGAGCAACCGGGTAAACCCGAGCGACCCTGCGGCCGTACCAGCTTGGACTGTGAGCTACTGGGTCTCGGTCAGGAGACCCACGATGCTGTAGGGAAGGGTGCTGGGGCTCTTGGTTGAGCAAGTCTTGGATTATGTCCCAACATGGCATAAGGGGTCTCTGTGCTGCCAGAGGCTCCACCTGCCCTTACACCAGCCCCAACCCACCAACCCTAACGGGGAGGGAAGAATGCCACCTACTGAACCACTAACAAACCTGCGTTTTCCCAGTACATCTCCCATCAAGGCTTGACCGAAAGACCCCTGCCAGAGGCAGGACAGTTGTAAGAACATGCAAGAGAAGGTCAGGTGTCAGAGGTTAACTCTAGGGAAGGGAGTGTCCTAAACCCAGCCCTGGGGAGGGTCAGTGTGACAATCAGTCTGCTGGCGGAAGAGGGTCTCTGCGGATGCTGGGACGGGGAAGAGTGCCTGTCAGTGCTCAGCACTGCAGCTCAGCTTGGCCAGGGTCACGGCCAGACACGCTCACGCGCTGGCAGAAGACGTCCCGCCTCTCCAAGAGCAAAGGGAATTCTACTGCCCATAAGCGGCCGCAAACAGATGGATAGCAGAGGGGCATTACTTAGCCTGCTTGCTGAGTAGAGTCACATTCACGTTCCCAAGCACCAGACTCAGGTACAGCCTAGAAGAGAACAGAAGGAGAAGTGAGAACATACGCAGGAGGTGTACAGCACTCCCCCTCCCGCCCACTGGGGCGGGGAGCCAGCTGCACCGCCGGGACAGTGGCCGGACTTGCATCCGAGATTGAAAGGGCTCCTGCTGCGTGGCTAATGCATGGCTATCACACACAGGCATTGTACAGGCTTGAACGCCAAGCATTACTACGCTCACGCTCAGTGCAGACGTATGTAGGCTGATTCATTCATCTGTCGGTCTCTTGGTGGGAACACCGGCTGGGACAGGCGCCCATCCATTTTCCACTTGTCAAGGACACAGCCACAGGTCTGTCATTAGCACAGCGGAAGGTGGCTTCTGCCCAAGGCTGCCTCAGGCACCCGCAGCAGTCTGGATAAGTATGGCCAAGTGCAGAACCTGTGCCCCCTAGGACCTCCCCACCAGTGCTCACGAGGGTCCGCGGGCAGCGCTTGCTGGGGACGAGAACTCTGGACCAAATCGGGGCCGCTGCTGTCACAACCAAGTCAATGGCAGGAGGATTTAGGAAAGTCACTAATGGCAGCCATTAGCACAAGCGGGGTATGGAGACAGGAACCCTGCACGTCACATCAGGCAAAATATGGGGCCGTTCCCGCCCCAGGACTGCGATGGTTACTGCCGCTCTGCCAGCCTGCAGAGTAACTGCTGAATGGAAGGCTCCCTGCTTAGCAGCACATTGCAGATGCTGTGCGGGGGAACCAGGAACGCAGGCAGCCCTGTGCTCCGCTGCCTGGTAACACACCCGAAACATCTCGCGTGGGACCTTAACTCCACCCCCGGGCTCTCACCTTCCTAACCAGCGATACTAAGCAGCATTTTGACAGGTTTCAGAGGAACAGCCGTGTTAGTCTGTATTCGCAAAAGAAAAGGAGTACTTGTGGCACCTTAGAGACTAACCAATTTATTTGAGCATGAGCTTTGTGAGCCACAGCTCACTTCATCAGATGTTCAACATCTGATGAAGTGAGCTGTGGCTCACGAAAGCTCATGCTCAAATAAATTGGTTAGTCTCTAAGGGCCACAAGTACTCCTTTTCTTTAAGCAGCATTTGTCACTGTTCCCACCCCCCCACACACTTTACTGCATTAAGGAGAGACTGTGACCCTAGAATAAACATCTGTTCAAACACCCCACTAATGGGCCTCTTGCCCAGCCAGCGGGAGGTTGGCCTGCTGGTCACGGGGCAACACCAGTGCACGCTGGAGAGCGAGCGAGCATCAAGCCAGCGGTGTCCAAAGACACTGCTGCTCCAAGCAGCCAGCCCCAGGGGTTATACTCTGCTCTGAATTGGCAACACACTGTGCCAAGGCCCCTAGCCTAATCGGTCTCTGGCTGGTTACTCTGAGGTTTTCCCGAGCCCGGTGGAAATGGGGGCTTGGAAACTGAATCAGGAGGACGGGGATTGAGAAGAAGCGATGAGAAATTAACTTGCACCAGCTGCGTATCAGGTCTCTCACTGACATCCTGCTAGAGTCTGGGCAGTTTTTGGCTGGTAACCCAAGCAATCTCTGGTAACGGCTGTATAGAAGTCAATAGCTTCAGTCCTTTTACTGCTGGCTAAGACCCCAAGACCATGGGACGGCTTCTTACCCATTCTTCTTTGGCAAATATGCCTCCATTTCAAAGAAGATGCTCTGCCTCTCTTTGATGAGGCTCTGGATCTCCCGGATGGACTCTTCCTGTTCGGCGGTTATCGAGGACTTGCAGCTGGGGAAAGGAATGTGATTTGGTCTGACAAAAAGGACCACCAGCTGCAGCTGCGTGACATTGTCCCACTGCAGGACAGTGCGACAGCAGGAAACGAGAGATTAATTCAGAACTAACTGAGGGATGAAATCTGGGAGCTAATCCCTGGGTCTGCCCCCGAGTTTCTGAATGGGACCTAGGCTAAGAGGAAGCAGGGTGTAAACCAGCATGAACAAGCATCCACCAATTTTCTAAGCCTAGGAAGTCAGCGTGGGGAGCTGATGTTTAATGTGGGCAAGGGATGAAGGAACGACTGGAGAAAGGAAAGGAGGGTATGAGAGAAACAACAGATCCTTCATCCTACCCTGCCGCCATGGTTCACCTACTCCAAACCATTCCTCCCCCCATCAGCACCCCACGGTGTAGGAATGCTGCTCGCTAGGCTCCCACGCTCCCTCCAACCAAGGTTCCGCAAGGATCTCCTTATGTCGTCCCACGTAACTCCTTACCTTTTGAAGGCAAGAGACAGCTCCTTCAGCCGCTTCTTCTGCCTTGCAATGGAACTGGAGATCCCATCCTGCAGCTTGGTTAGTTCTTCGAGCTTCTGCTTGTACAGCTTATGGGCCTCCTGGCAATGGAAAGGACAGATCAGCGGTGAGCCCAGGTGCCTCAGCTGGGAGCCTGTTTAATTCTCCAGGAGGCTGCAGGTGTGAGCGGGAGGGTGGGCTGGGGATTCAAGCAGAGGAACAGGAGGCAGGACCTTTGAGAACTATCCCCAGCTCCACCGCCAACTCGTGGCATCCGCTTGGGAAGTGTATTTGCCCCTCCGTTTGGGGCTGGAAACTCACTGGGTAAATGCTTGGAGGCCGGAGAAGCGGGGTTTGCTTCCCTGGCCTGATGCAGCCTCTACAAGCAGTGGGAAGTGAGCCCAGAGCCAAGCATCTCATCCCCCCGCCCCCTTTAGTCCCAAACTGGGATTCAGCTTCCCTTAGAGACGGTCTCTCACACCCCTGCCCCCTCCCCACCCTGTAGGGGGCGCTGTTCGGCTGGCATAAGCTTGCCCATTGTGTTCCATTGCTCCTCATTGCCGAGAGCAAGTAGTTGGCAAGGAGCTACCTCCAGCTAAAGCCTAGACTGGGCCTCGGACCTTGGCTTCTGTTCCCTGCCGGGTGACCTAGGGCATCTCCCTGCCCCACGCTGCCATTTCACTTCCAGGCCCGGGAGCCAGCCAGGGCCAGCTGACTCAGCATTTCCCAGCAGCCTCCCACCCAGCCGGGGAGGAAGTGCGCACAGCTGGGACCTGTCTGTGACAGAGGGGAAGCTGCTGAACTAAAAGCCGCCCTATAGACCAGGCGTCCGTGAAGAGCCCAGCCTCCAACTGTGGCAGATGGTTCAGGGGAAGGTGTCCCTGTAACATCGACTGGTCCCCTACCGTGTTGACTGACAGCCTGCGGGAGGAAGGAGCCCCTACCTTCCCCCAGCTGGTGATCAGAGGTTATGTCCTGCAGCCTGGGACGGATGGTCTTTGAAATGCTGCCCTGCCTTGTTTTATGTTTAGGAACTCAGTGGTAGCCCTTGCCACATCAACGCTTACCCTTCTTTTGAAAGTCTGCTGAGAGATGCTACATGTTTGACATTGATGAACAATTCAGAATAGCACCTTCAACTAGAGAATTAAAGCTGAGCTCACAATTAGTCTTACAGTGGACCTTCAGTTGAAGATCTAGAATCTCAAGCCAATCTACAGCTTTTACCAGTAGCTCTCAAAATGCTTTAGGAAGTTGGTCAGTATCATTATCCTCATTTACAGTTGGAGAAACTGAGGCACAGAGAAGCGCAATGACTTGGCCAAGGTCACCCAGCAGGTCAGTGGCAGAACTGGGAACACAACCAAAGTCTGAGCTCTAGCCCAGTGTTCTAGCCACTATCTTTTTAATTACTTTTATCTGTGTCCTGCAGCAGGGAGTCCCGCAGGTTAGTTCTACTTTGCTGAAAACAATTCTCCACCCAATTTAAATTTGCAGGCTTTTAATTTGTACACTGTGGTGCAAGCAGACCAGCTTTGAGCGCGCTGTGGAATATTTGAGGGCTGTCGTCTCTCAAGTTGCTTCTTAAACGGCATGTTCTTGAGCCCATTGCTTGTAGCAGGTAAGATGTAGGAACTGAAGCTGTTAAGATGTTAGATTAGATCTTTGCCTGCTTTTCACAAATTGGCCAAATCAAGAGCAAAACAAGGATAGGTCTCTCAAGAGCAGGTCGCTTTCCCAAGAACAAGACTGTCCCTTATATTGTGCGGGTGGGGGATGAGAGCAGATTACATCATTTCTCACTCTGCCTCCTCAACCCTTCACACAGCAACTCTGGTACATTTCACTTAACCCTTCTGGGGAGAGGCACACAGATGCTCTTGGTAAATCAGAACCAGGGGGCTTGGAGTCCAGCACGTCTTGAGACACCAGTGAAACGAGTTGGCTGGTCTCGCTCAGGTGCCCCTATTTGCCCCAATCAAGAGACCACCAGGCAGTTTGTGCTTGAGAGTCTCTGGTCTTGGAACGCTGGGGGGTAGGGTAGGGTAGAGGTAAATTGCTGTAACTGCACGGGAAAGTTTGCAACAGTTCATTCCTGGCTGTAACCCATGCCAAGCAGTATAGCCACCCTGATTTCTGCAGAGCTACTGGAATCCCACTTCTCTGAGCAGCTTCCTCCCCCTAGGCTCCGGCAGTGAGCCGCTGAAAGGGAATATGCATAAACAACCACCAGTGGGGCTGGAAAACCCCCGACTCTATGACTAACTCCTAGAGAACTCCCATGTACTCTGCTGGGTGTGTGTTAATGGGACTTGGCCACCCATAAATTACTGGGCACGACACTCAGAAGTTCGGAGCAGCTGTAAAAGCCTTCGTGAACACAGTACTTGGCAAGAACTGCAGTCATTCAAGCAGATGCATCAACAGCCAGACATCTAGGAACCACTGACAGTACCAGAGGCGGCTGTTTCTGAGCCAGGACTCCCACAGCTTTCCACGCAGGGGCACTCAAAAGACCTTCACCGATGCCTAGTGTGTCCCCCTCCCCGAGGCTGAGCGTCTCCCTAGAGCGTAACCCCTTCCCTAGTCCTCAGCAACGGATGCCCCATCTGAAGTCACAGCCCTGATAGTGGTTAGTCATCTGTGGCCGCAGCTCCGGGACAAGCTGAGTCCTGGTGTAACAACGTACAGCTCCACTGACAGCAGCCCTGTGTGCCTCGCCAGGGAACGGAAACATTGGGTAATCTGTGGCAAGGTTCACTGCACTTTGCACCGGGGATTCCTAGCAGGAGGCACAATGTCTAACTCATCCATGGAGTCACAGCAGAAGCAAATTTTTACGGTCACTAATCTCAACTATTAAAGGAGCAGGATGGTCCTAAGGGTTACGCACTAGCTAGGTCTTGGGAGGCTCAGGTTCAGTTCCCTGCTACGCCACAGACTTGTGTGTGGCCTTGGGCAAGTCACTTGGTCTCGCGGTGCCTCAGTTTGCCATCTGTGAAGTGGTACTTCCCTACCTCACAGGGGTGCTGAAGATTAGTATCTGAGCACCTCCTAATCTTTTAGAGTGACAGGGGCCATATACGGCCCTAAAATAGATAACAAACCTTTCAGTATAAGGTTCTAAATATGCCCTTTCCTCTACTATTTGGTATAACTACTAGGTGTGAGGCAAGGAAATTTTACCCCATTTCGCACAGGACACAGCGACGTACCCCAGGACACACAGGTAGCCTGCAGCTGAGACAAAACTGAGGCCAGGTCTCCCAAGTCCTCGTCTAGCGTTCTATCCATTATACCACACGTCCCTCTTGTAGAACGCGGCGCTACATATGCCATGCAAGCTGGCTTTGCTGTTCTGGGGTGGGATTTCTAAAAGCAGGACTTGGTGCTGCATCACTTAGATGACTTTGAGACGCCCCCTTTGAATCTGATCTCTTTCTCGTATTAATAAATCTTGTTCTGCAAGGCCGCTAGAGTGACTGATTAGGAATTTCACAGACTGTCCCAAGAGGGAAAAAGCCATCAGCATCCGAGGGGAGCCGGTGAAGAAAGGCTGTCCTGAGCATACTCTGTATCCTTGGTCTCCATCAAAAGGACATGGACAGAGGAATCTTCTCCCCTAAAGCATGTCACCAGTAGGTCTTGGATCTAACTGACACAGGAACCACCCAAGTACCATAGACAAGAACCAAGTGGAGAGGAGGGGAGTTAAAGTGTATTCATACCAAGTAGATCACAAAATGCTTTGGAGAAGAACATATACTACACATACTGTCATGTAAATCACACCAGGCAGGCGGACAAACACACTGTAGTGTATTCACTCCATAGTGAACACAATAAAGCATTCAATCATTTACCAAAAGGAAAATAGTCAAGAGGCAGGGAGCCTACCAGTAAAACAGATGCATCTTTGAACCTGTCCACAGACAACAGACTTCCGAAAGAGACCTTAAAATGATTGTTTCCTTTCCAGCTGCATCCACAAGAGATGTAAATCCCAAACAGCTCGGCCCAAACACACACGAGGGCTTCCCCAGCCAATGAGACTGTTTTGTCCTGATTGTCAAGGACAGCAGATAGCCAGTATGTGACAAAGCAGGAGAGACATAGCAAAGGAAGTGTGAATGGGAAGGTCACCAACACTCCACTGATCACTGACTGACAAAGTGTACATGAGAGAAACTGACAGCCAAACATGGTAGACTCAGTTACTGAATGATAAGCTTAGCAGCAATTAAAACCTCTTGCTTCTCACAGACAGGGATACAACATGGGGACTGCATGGTTCTCAGCTATTTCACCTCTATTCTTTTTTCTTCTACCCTTGCCTGAGATCACACCTCCAGTGTGTGTTTTGACACTAGATAAGGATCACTGGGTCACAATTCACTCAGCAGCCTTATACTTCCATTAAAGGCCACCATTCCCCCCACATCTCCCTGCCACAGCATGAATAAAGTCAAGATAAAAATTCCTTCCAGACTAGAAGCTTGACTGGCCACAGCAGGACCAGTTCTCACTATGCATTTATATATGGGTGACTACTGAGGTAGAATGATTAATATTGGACATAAAAATAAATGAGAATAGATGCTCAAAATGGCCACTCTTGCATGCCTTGACTATCTGCTTTCCTCCAGAGCCAGAGATTACAGATTGTTGTTTTAAGAAAGTTCTTTTGCAAATGTTTAGACCTGTTGAGGCAAGAACCTTTGGCAACATACAAATAAAGGAGACTAGAGATATTCTAAAATCAGCAGTTACTCGTGTACCACATCCACCCTGAACAATACAGGACTGGATGAATGCATCTCCAAAGGCAGTGCCACATCATACCAGCACTCCATGGCCTGTATGACTGCCCACTGAGGGGCCTGTAAGGTGGGGGAGAGGGGCGGGAATTTCCCATGAAGCTGTTAATTGTTGGTGACCTGGTTGCCTTACGGTCTCTGCCCCCACACAGCACAACGGTTGTGATCAGTGGAAGTGCTGGAGTCCCCTGGAACTGGGGGGGGGGGGGGGGCTGGCAGGGTATTTTTAGTGGAGGGTCCTCAACTCCAAGATGTATGCCCCCCTCTTCCCACCAGAGCTTGGGTGTACCACCCTTGTGGGCACAGTGCAAGGGTCAGCATTTCGCAGGGACACGCAGGGCACGGTTGAGAGGCTGTGGGTGGCAGCGAGGCATGCTAGCCAACTTCACCGCCACAATCGCGGGGTTCTCGGCAGGCAAGTCACAGCTTGCGTCCCAGGTGCGCGTCGGGGTGGGTTGTCAGTGTCTTACTGAGGGGGCAGGTTCGAAGCAGCTTTGTGAAGCCCCCAGAGTGTGGAGAGGCTGCTGGGGCCCAGTGGCTGCTTCTCACATGCACCTGCTGCCGCCTCCAGGGAGAGGCCTCGCTCTGGTCTCCTTGCCCCCGGCCTGCTGGGCCTGCAGCGTGGAGCCCAGAGCTGGGCAGCAGTGAGATAGTGCTCCCAGCCCAGCCCTGACAGTGGGGGAGCCCCAGCCCTGGAGACAGGCACTGTGGTACCCCCATAGCTCCCCAGCGCCTGCCCCCGGGACCTGCCCCCCCCCATAGCTCCCCAGTATCTGGCACATGCCCCCCCCCAGCTCACCAGTGCCTGCCCCTCCCCCCCCAAGCTCCCCGGTGCCTGCTCCCCCCCCAAGCTCCCGCTGCTCCCCCCCAAGCTCCCCCCGAAGCTCCCGCTGCTCCCGCTACTCCCCCCAAGCTCCCTGCCACCCCCGCCTGCCCCCCCCCCCCCCCCCCCCCCCCTCCCCCCCCAACCCCCCGCTCCCCCCCCACGCTCCCCGCACCTGCCCCTCCCCAGTACCTGCCCCTCCCCCACCTCCCCACACCTCCCCTGCCCCGCCCCCGACCTGCCCCCCCCAGCTCCTGCCCCCCCCCGCTCCTCCCCTCCCACCCCCCCCCCGGCCCTCCCCTCCCCCCCCCGCCCCCCCTCCCGTACCTGCCCCTCCCCCCCAGCTCCCCCCTGCCACCCCCCCCCGCCCTGCCCCTCTCCCAGTACCTCACCCCCCGAGCTCCTCCTCCCCCCCACAGCTCCCCCCCTCCCCCCCAGCGCCTGCCGCTCCCCCCCCAGCACCTGCCCCTCCCCAGTACCTGCCCCTCCCCCACAGCTCCCCAGCACCTGCCGCCTGCCCCGCCCCCGGTACCTGCCCCCCCCAGCTCCTGCCCCCCCCCAGCTCCTGTCCCTCTCCCGGTACCTGCCCCCCCCGAGCTCCTGTCCCTCTCCCCCCCCCCAGCTCTTGCCCCTCTCCCGGTACCTGCCCCTCCCCGCCCAGCTCCCCGGCGCCTGCCATCCGCCCCCCCCAGCTCCTGCCCCTGCCCCTGCCCCGGCACCTGCACGTGCTGGAAGCCGCCCTGCAGCTCCTCCCAGTCCCGCAGACACTCGCTGACCGAGGCGCGGAGGCTCATGGCGGCGCCGGCGGGGTCACGGAGCGGCAGGACCCGGCAGCGCCGCTCCGCTCTCCGCGGCCTCGGGGAGGGGGGGGGGGCGCTTCCGGGACCCGCCGCGGCCAATCGTCCAGGGCGTCATCCGGACGTCACAACCAATCGGCGCTCGGGAGCGGTGCTTTGGAACGCCACGCGACGGTGGGGGGAGGGGAAGGTGGCGGCAGCAACAGCCTGGATGGGGGCGGTGTCGGGGGTGGCCTGGGGGAGGAGCCCGGGGGGGGTGACCTGGGGGAGCAGCCCTGGGGGCGGTGTCGGGGGTGACCTGGGGGAGGAGCCTGGGGGGGTGACCTGGGGGAGCAGCCCTGGGGGCGGTGTCGGTGCCTGGGGGTCAGGGGTGACCTGGGGGGCCCCTGGGGGCGGTGTCGGGGGTGGCCTGCGGGAGGAGCCCTGGGGGCGGTGTCGGGGGTGACCTGGGGGAGTCAGGGACCTGGGGGGCGCCCTGGGGGGGGGGGGCCTGGGGGCGGTGTCGGGGGGGTGGCCTGGGGGCAGTGTCAGGGGGTGACCTGGGGGAGCAGCCCTGGGGGTGGTGTCGGGGGGGTGGCCTGGGGGCGGTGTCGGGGGGTGGCCTGGGGGAGGAGCCCGGGGGGGGTGACCTGGGGGAGCAGCCCTGGGGGCGGTGTCGGGGGGTGACCTGGGGGCAGTGTCAGGGGTGACCTGGGGGAGCAGCCCTGGGGGGTGGTGTCGGGGGGTGGCCTGGGGGCGGTGTCGGGGGTGACCTGCAGGAGGAGCCCGGGGGGGTGACCTGGGGGAGCAACCCTGGGTGCTGGGGGGTGACCTGGGGGAGCACCCCTGGGAGCGGTGGCGGGGGGGTGACCTGGGGGCAGTGTCAGGGGTGATCTGGGGAAGCAGCCCTGGGTGCTGGGGGGTGACCTGGGGGAGCACCCCTGGGGGCGCTGTCGGGGGGTGACCTGGGGGTGGTGTCAGGGGTGACCTGGGGGAGCAGTCCTGGGCGGTGTCAGGTGGTCACCTGGGGGAGCAGCCCTGGGGGGGGTGTTGGAGGTGACCTGGGGGAGCAGCCTGGATGGGGGTGTATCTTCCCATTGATCTCAATGGGCTTTGGTCTGGTCCCTTATACCACGCTTATCGCCACCATGTTTGAGGCCCAGATCCTCACATGTATTTAGGCACCTAACTCCCATTGATTTCAAATCAACAAAATCATCATCACTTTATAGGGCACATGGTCTAGATTCTTCCCCTCTTCCTCCATGCCTGCTGGGGATTTTTGTATTCCTCCTCCATCATCTGCCTTCTTTCTTTTCACTGTTGTTTTCCTTGTGGCTGTGGCTACATCTGCAATACCGGGAAGTCCATCTTCAGCCCCCCCAGTGTGTTATTTTGATGTTCTTGTTAGATTAGAGTTATATTTTTTAATGTGAGGAAATCTTTGTGCAGTGTTTGTGAGGATCTGTTCATTCCTTGCTTATTTTCCTCTTCGGGGGCTAACTTCATCGATTGTTTGCCCTTTCATTGTAAATCGGTACAAGCCTTCAGCACTGCACACAGCGCTCACTTCTGGAGATCCTTCTGGAGGGACATTGAAATCAGTACATCTGAGATACTAATGCAAGTATTATCAGAGGGGTAGCCGTGTTAGTCGGGATCTGTAAAAGCGGCAAAGAGTCTTGTGGCACCTTATAGACTAACAGAGGTACTGAAGCATAAGCTTTCGTGGGTGAATACCCACTTTGTCGGATGCAAGGGCTGGAATATTCAAAGGAGTCTAAGAGAGTTAGGTATCCAAATGCCATTGCAATACAATGTGAGATGAGTGCCTAACTCCCTGGGGCCCCTTTGAAAAGTCTATACATTTGCTACAGAACAAATTGGAAGACTGCACAAGCCTTGTGGCCCATTAAGGAAAGGAAAGAATTGTAAGTAAGTCTTTTATTGAGAAGTGCCACCAAGTGGTTAGCGCTTGGAACTGGAAGTCAGCAAGCCTGCGTCCTAGTTGCACCTGTCACTGAGGATATAAACAGCAATTAAACCTCTGCAGCTGGCCTGTGTCAGCTGACTTGGGCTGGCTCAGGCTGTGGTGCTGTAAAACTGTTCTGTAGATGTAGAGTCGGAGTTCTGGGGCCCAGTGAGGGGGGAGGGTCCCAGAGCCCAGACTACAGCCCGAACCCGAAAGTCTACACCACAGTTAAACAGCCCTGCAGCCCAAGTGCCATGAGCCCAAGTCAGCTGACATGGGCCAGCCATGGGTGTTTAACTCCGGTGTAGCCATACCCTCACTCAATTAAACAAGTCAAATCACTCTGTGCTTCTGCTTCCCCATATGCAAAACGGGTAGAATGAGATCCACCTTTATAAATTGCTCTGAAATCCTGGGAAATAAAGGCAGATCCTCAGCTGGTGTAAACTGGCATAATTCCCTGGAAGTCAATGGAGTTCTGCTGATACACATCAGCTGAAGATCTGGACCATAAGGTGCCACATAAGTACATAGTATTTTCTTAAAAAATAATGGTTCTGAATCACAGAATCATAGAATATCAGGGTTGGAAGGGACCTCAGGAAGTCATCTAGTCCAACCCCTTGCTCAAAGCAGGACCAATCCCCAACTAAATCTGAAACTAAGTACAAAACTGATAGACCCATTTATAGATCTCACTGCAGTGAAAAGACATTCGTACAGAAAATCTACCTCTGATTGCGATTTACAGCACCGGTGCTTATTTCTGGTCACCCAGTTCCCACAAAGCATACACATTTCAGCACTCAGAAGTAGTTAGTCGTCTAAATTTATTAGCAAGAATGTCAAGGTTGAGTAATTCTGTCCCACGCTAGAGTTATTGAGGCTGTAATAATGTTGTGGTACAAATGTGTCAAAAAACATTTGAAGGTTCAGATCTAGGATGAAGATTTAAAATGAAGGACATAATACAACTATCAGGGTAGGGAGGTCAAAATTTCGTGTAAGGCCTAAATAACATTTTCTATAAACTCTTATTCTATGCTGCTAATGTACAGAATTTACAATGTTAAAAAGGAGATAGATCAGAGGTGGGCAAACTACGGCTCGCGGTCCACATTCGGCCCACAGGACCCTCCTGCCCGGCACCTGAGTGCCTGGCCTGGGAGGCTAGCCTCCAGCCCCTCCCCTGCTGTTCCCCCTCCCCCGCAGCCTCAGCTCACTGTGCCATTGGTGCCATGCTCTGGGCGGTGGGGCTGCGATCTCCTGCCGGGCAGCGCAGCTGCAGAGCCGTGGCTTGACCCGGTGCTCTGTGCTGCGCGGTGGTGTGGCTGGCTCCAGCCGGGCAGCGTGGCGGCCTGTCCTGGTGCTCCGGGCAGCACGGCTGTAGCACCGGCAGCCACTGGTGCTCCAGGCAGCGCGGTAAGGGGGCAGGGAAGTTCAGGGTGGTGGTCAGGGGGTGGGGGTGTGGATAGGGGGCAGGGCGGTCAGAGGGCGGGGAACGGGGGTTGAATGGGGGTAGGGGTCCCGGGAGAGCAGTCAAGAAGGAGGGGGGCAGTTGGATGGGGCAGCGGGAGGTAGTCAGGGGCGGGGGTTCCAGGGGCGGTCAGGGGACCAGGAGTGGGGGTGGGGTTGGATGGGGCAGGAGTCTTGGGGGGCCGTCAGGGGGCAAGAAGCAGGGGGGGGTCGGATAGGAGGCGGGGGCCGGGCCACACCTGGCTGTTTGGGGAGGCACAGCCTCCTCTAACCAGCCCTCCATACAATTTTGGAAACCCGATGTGGCCCTCAGGCCAAAAAGTTTGCCTGTCCCTGAGATAGATGGTACTGAGCTTCATCATCATGTTCCCATTACACCTCTGGTGTTTAGGGCAGCGACGAAACTCCTCCACTCCTGTCTGTCTCTGGCAAGTCTTTCAATGGTTCCCCAGCTGTGCCCCAGGTTTTCCAGCTCGGCTTCCACAACTCTTCGCCAGATTGTTTTTGGGTGGCCTCGTTTTCGCTTGACTTCAGGTGTCCTTCTTATTGCTACTTTGGTGACGGAATCAGCTTGGGCAGGACTTTAATTTGGCTTAGTATAATAGGACTGGAGCTTCAACTAGAACTTCAAGGCAAAGAAGCCTGACTGTTGAAATATGAGGATGCAAGTAGGAGGCAAGGCTGGAGAGCCTGGGCCCCAATAAATCAATGGGAGATGCATGCGTGTGTGAAGGCATAACTCCATCTTGGTATTGGACTGTACATCTGAGAGAATACATTTGTAATGGGTGAATTCCTGAATCGTTGAAATTCTGTCTCACATATTTATCTGTTGAAACTGTTTGTCTGGTTAAGTACCCAGTTACCATCCAAGGATAGAGATCCATGGACGGGTTTTCAATGATGCTGCTCACCTGCAGCCCCTACTGGCTTCAATGGGAGTTGCAGCTGCTCAGCACTTTGATAATCAGCCCGCAATTGTCCCAGCCAACAAGAGTGACAATTAAAACAAAACTAACCAAATCCTTAAGTCATTACTCATGCATAGCTCCCATTGACCGTTCAGCAAGTTTGCCTGAATAAGGGATTAGATCCCAAATGATGTAAATAATAACATGTGAAGATGAAAACCAATCCTAAAGGTTAAGGTTATTATATTATTCTTATTATTTTATTCACAGCAACCAATTCTAGTCAAACCTTACCCAAACAATACAGCCCAAATTAAACAGTGGTACAGATGGAAAGCTTCTTTGCCTGTTGGATGCTCTCCTTGCTGCCTGTCAATAATGTGGTTCGGAGATATCTGTGATCGCTGACCCATAGATTTGGCTTTCCCAGTCTGACAGCTGTTGCACAAAGCCACGGTTTGGTCTCATGTTTGTTTTGCATTTCTGGATGTATTTCCAAGCCCCCTACAAATACAAGTAAAGACAGGGAGAAGACTCAGGAATATGCTTATTGTGTATTGTCCAGCTTACAATTACTTCTAAGTCTTAGAATGATTAATAACACCTAGGAGCATCACTCATGGCCCAGGACCCTATTGTGCCAAGTGCTGAGCAAATACAGAACAAAAATGAACCAAATCTGGTATCTGGACCAGTAGAGAAAGAAAAGGACACAGTCAATTACAAGGTTTTTTTAACCTTCCATTTTTAGTAATACACAGTTAGACCTCTGAAAATAAGAAGTACCAAGGCAACTGTCTGAGGGAAGTAGTATTATGATATGGAGCCTTTCTCCAGTCCATGAAGATCATTAGCTTGAGTCCAGCTCAGTAATGATCAAAATTCATGATCAAGTGATGGCTGTCCAGTTGCGTAGGAGAAAGGAACTGGAGGTCTCAGTCTAGTTTCCATGGGATAGGTGTCAGTTTCACTAAAGCCGTTGACTCTACTTAGCAGCCTCAGCAGTGAGGCTAAGGGCTGCATGAAGACTGAAGTACTTCTCTCCTAGAGGTGGTCTCTGCAAGGCAGGGGTATAATGGTGAACCTTGCACATTGAGCAAAGAGTCTTTCCCCCTGTGTTTCTACCAGGGATTTGGAATTAAAATTATGTTATGGGGCTTCGGAGGGTTCAGAGGGCAGAGACTGTCTTTTTGTCCTGTGTTTGACCAGCATCTAGCACAAAGGAGCCCTGGTCCATGACAGGCTCCTTGGAGCTACTACAAATCAAATAATAACAACATGATTGCTTCACCATCAAACTGTTGCTCATTTGGGAGCTCTTGGCTTAACACCATGTCTCTCTTCCACACTCACCTTGGGCAGCCTTGGTATCTTTGTTCCCTTAGCCCTCCCCTGCCTCAGGACCCAACTCCAGTGCTGACCTGTGGTTGAGTGGCCAGAAAGGGCCTATGAGAAGATGCAAACATTACCTTCCTCTATGGAAAATAAATGTGTTATGATTCAAACAATACATTCAAAGTCCTTCAGTACCAAGGCGATTGATATCTTATAAATACCTACAGTAAAGGCCAAATCCTGATCTCATTGAAGTCAATGGCAAAACTCTCATTGCTGCTGAAGAGCCAGGATTTGGCCCTCTGCCTCCCAAGCAGAGGGAGGATCTTACGTCTGCTTCCTTAACCATAGAACAGCACAATACCCCAGTGACCATGCTGGCTAGTAAAAGTAATTTCCTTGAGATGTATTTAAAGTGACACAAGCAATCAAGTCTGTATGCGAAACACATGAATTTTTCCTGACCATTCACTAACAACTGCACTGGATTGTAATGTACTAGTTTTGGGGAGGCAGAACAATCTACCATGGGTTGGTCTCCACAGCAAACAATTGGGGCACATCCTTTTACACTGAAACCTTAGTTAACATAAGAACAATGTGGCCATACTGGGTCAGACAAATGGTCCATCTAGCCCGGTATGCCCTCTTCCAACAGTGGCCAATGCCAGATGCCCCAGAGGGAATGAACAGAACAGGTAATCATCAAGTGATCCATCCCCTGTCACCCATTCCCAGCTTCTGGCAAACAGAGGCTAGGGACACCATCCCTGCCCATCCAGGCTAATAGCCATTGATGGACCTATCCTCCATGAACTTATCTAGCTCTTTTTTTGAACACTGTTATGGTCTTGGCCTTCACAACATCCTCTGGCAAAGAGTTCCACAGGTTGACTGTGCATTGTGTGAAGAAATACTTCCTTTTGTTTGTTTTAAACCTGCTGCCTATTAATTTCATTTGGTGACCCCTCATTTGGTGTCTTGTGTTATGAGAAGGAGTAAATTTTTTTTTACTTATTTACTTTCTCCACACCAGTCATGATTTTATAGACCTCAATCATATCCCCCCTTAGTTGTTTCTTTTCCAAGCTGAAAAGTCCCAGTCTTATCAATCTCTCCTCATATGGAAGCTGTTCCGTAACCCTAATAATTTTTGTTGCCCTTTTCTGAACCTTTTCCAATTCCAATATATCTTCTTTGAGATGGGGTGACCACATCTGCACGCAGTATTCAAGATGTGGGCATACTATGGATTTATATAGAGGCAATATGATATTTTCTGTCTTATTATCTATCCCTTTCTTAATGATTCCCAACATTCTGTTGGCTTTTTTGACTGCTGCTGCACATTGAGTGGATGTTTTCAGAGAACTATCCACAATGACTCCCAGATCTCTTTCTTGAGCGGTAACAGCTAATTTAGACCCCCATCATTTTATATGTATAATTGGGATTATGTTTTCTAATGTACATTACTTTGCATTTATCAACATTGAATTTCATCTGCCATTTTGTTGCCCAGTCACCCAGTTTTGTGAGATCCTTTTGAAGCTCTTTGCGGTCTGCCTTGGACTTAACTATCTTGAGTAGTTTTGTATCATCTGCAAATTTTGCCACCTCACTGTTTACCCCTTTTTCCAGATCATTTATGAATATGTTGAATAGGACTGGGCCCAGTACAGACCCCCACCACTATTTATCTAGTTTGACCTCTGGGAGTACAAACACAGTAGTAACACTCACTACTAATAGAATACTCCTGCAGAATGCAGACTGGTCCTAATTCCAAAGTTCAAATGCAGGCCCGTGGAGTGTTATTAAAAGACACTACATACAATGTCACGCAGATACTGTAGGAAGCAAATGTAACACAGTTACACTGTGTGGTTCTATTTGTAAATTACACAATTACATATTGGTTCCCACCAGATTATGCACTACATAGCTAGGGATTGGTATGAACCAGAACAAACCTGGAGGTAATTTGGATCAGATCTGAACTTCAGGGTAGACTCTTATTTCCATAATTAGGGCCCTACCAAATTCATGGCCATAAAAATGTGTCACGGACCATGAAATCTGGTCTCCCCCAGTGAAATCTGGTCTTTTGTGTGCTTTTATCCTATACTGTACAGATTTCACAGTGGAGACCAGCATTTCTCAAATTGGGAGGGGTCCTGACCCAAAAGGGAGTTGCAGGGGGGGTCACAAGGTTATTTTAGGGGGGGGGGTCGCAGTATTACTACCCTTATTTCTGTGCTGCCTTCAGAGCTGGAGGGCTGGAGACTGGTGGCTGTCAGCTGGGCGCCCAGCTCTGAAGGCAGCACCCGCCAGCAGCAGTGCAGAAGGATGAGTGGCAATACCGTACCAGGCCATCCTTACGTCTGTGCTGCTGGCGGCTGCTCTGCCTTCAGAGCTGGGCTTCCAGCCAGCAGCTGCTGGTCTCCAGCCCCCCAGCTCTGAAGGCAGCGCCGCCGTCAGCAGCTGCACAGAATTAAGAGTAGCAGTGTTGCAACCCCCGCTCCCCACCCCCCACAGACTCCTTTATGGGTCAGGACCCCTACAATTACAACACCATGAAATTTCAGATTTAAATCGCTCAGATCATGACATTTATGATTTTTAAAATCCTATAATTGTGAAATTGACCAAAATTGACCATGAATTTGGTAGGGCCCTATATATAATGAACCAGGATATCCTAGTTATGAATATTCCTGCAGTGTCAGGCCTCTTTCTTCATCTATGATGTACCTGCCATCATTCTGCAGCAAGACAGTGCCAGAGCCCTACCTTGGGCTACTGGGTCTGATTGTAGTGTAAAATGCTAACAATCTTTTTCAGTGGAAAAAGCAGAGAAGCAGCAGCTACCTAAAGCTGCATGACAGAGGTTCTCCTGTTCCTGGACTGGCACTATATGCTATTACACAGTGGTGATCTAGAGCATCAAAGCAGCGGTCCAACTATCCCAAAGTGCTAATTACAGCCATCTGGATTGTTTGTTAGTTTCAGGTAATTAGCTCGGAATGCTGTTACACAGCAGGGTTGTTACACAAATGCACTGAACTCCTCTCAGGCTACACTACTGAAGTTGCTGAGTAATGTCCCCCTCACCAGATAAAAATCAGGATTTCTTATAGCAATCAGGAGCATAATTAGGATTGCTTAAACTTAATGAAAAGGAGTACTTGTGGCACCTTAGAGACTAACCAATTTATTTGAGCATAAGCTTTCGTGAGCTACAGCTCACTTCATCGGATGCATTCAGTGGAAAATACAGTGAGGAGATTTATGTACACACAGAACATGAAAGGTGAAATGGTATTGCATGGTTTCTTCTGGATGTCTGATACTGGAGACCAACAGCCTAAATCTCCAACCTTCCTATGATTACTTCCTAATCAAACAAGTAATCAGTGGGTATCCACACACACTAGTTACTCATATGAGTAAGGGTTTGGTAGGAGCATGTTCTATCAGTGCAATTTCTTTTAACATGCTCATGTCTCCAGATCCCTGAAGCCTCACTAAAGCATTCCAAGACTTTTGTACAAACTGGGTCAAAGACCTAACTGAAAGAGCAGCTTGAGTATATTTCACTGCTGCAGTCCAGCAAGATTGTCTATTTGAATCATCCCATAGGAAAGCTTTGTGCAACAGGAATCTCAAGCATTCAGCCTGTTTCACTATGGGCAGCCTGTGGTGGGGGTGCTCTGGAGTAGATGTATTTCTGTTTCGACTCGACAAGATGTTAAAACAAAAACGTTGATCACGATAAAGGGAAAAGTCAGTTATCAGCCTTGGACTTTTGCACTGTGGGCGCAATAAGCTAAGTATTTTAGTAGGGCTCAGCATGGGAGGGTATGATAGTGATAGATCTGTTATCAGTCTGTGGGAACAATCACATCCAATATTAGTAGGGTAGGTCCGTAGGTTCTGGTGCCTGTGCAGAGTACACAGCAAGTCTCTATTATTCCGCTGGCAAACTCATTCCGCAATTACTCTTTGATGTGCCTTGCAGGGTAAGAAGCCTCATTTTGTGTTGCAAATGTTTACACAAAAAAATGGGCCAGATCCATGCTCAGCTTTAGGACAGTTTGGATTCAAATACTATACTCAACTTCCAGAAGAGGGGCTCCTTTTCCAAACACAACCAAGACTTTTAGCGGGAATCACTTCAAAGGCATGGAGGAGATTGGATACCACTGATACCCTGGTCTGCCCAGAAAAGGCAGAATGAGAGACAGACCTACCTTTTCAAAATGCTGGGACACTGAGTAAACCGAGGAACATCCTGGAGTTTGGGGATAAGCAATCAATCTAGTATATAGCTAGGTACTTCTCAGCCTTCACTCAATATTTTTCTGAAGACTTGTGGAGCTACGTAATGAGGGGTTGTCAGGGTTCCCTCCCCACTCGGAACTCTGGGGTACAGATGTGGGGACCCACATGAACGACCCCCTAAGCTTATTTCTACCAGCTGAGGTTAAAAATTCCCCAAGGCACAAATCCCTTTTGTCCTTGGACGGTATGTTGCCACCACCAAGTGATTTAAACAAACTTTCAGGGAGGGCCACTTGGAGCCCTACCTCCTGCAAAATATCTCCCCAAGCCCTTACACCCCCTTTCCTGGGGAGGCTTGAGAATTATATCCTAACCAATTGGTTACAAAGTGAGGGCATAGAATCATAGAATATCAGAGTTGGAAGGGACCCCAGAAGGTCATCTAGTCCAACCCCCTGCTTGAAGCAGGACCAATCCCCAGTTAAATCATCCCAGCCAGGGCTTTGTCAAGCCTGACCTTAAAAACCTCTAAGGAAGGAGATTCTACCACCTCCCTAGGTAACGCATTCCAGTGTTTCACCACCCTCTTAGTGAAAAAGTTTTTCCTAATATCCAATCTAAACCTCCCCCACTGCAGCTTGAGACCATTACTCCTCGTTCTGTCATCTGCTACCATTGAGAACAGTCTAGAGCCATCCTCTTTGGAACCCCCTTTCAGGTAGTTGAAAGCAGCTATCAAATCCCCCCTCATTCTTCTCTTCTGCAGGCTAAACAATCCCAGCTCCCTCAGCCTCTCCTCATAACTCATGTGTTCTAGACCCCTAATCATTTTTGTTGCCCTTCGCTGGACTCTCTCCAGTTTATCCACATCCTTCTTGAAGTGTGGAGCCCAAAACTGGACACAGTACTCCAGATGAGGCCTCACCAATGTCGAATAAAGGGGAACAATCACGTCCCTCGATCTGCTGGCTATGCCCCTACTTATACATCCCAAAATGCCATTGGCCTTCTTGGCAACAAGGGCACACTGCTGACTCATATCCAGCTTCTCGTCCACTGTCACCCCTAGGTCCTTTTCTGCAGAACTGCTGCCTAGCCATTCGGTCCCTAGTCTGTAGCGGTGCATTGGATTCTTCCATCCTAAGTGCAGGACCCTGCACTTATCCTTATTGAACCTCATCAGATTTCTTTTGGCCCAATCCTCCAATTTGTCTAGGTCCTTCTGTATCCTATCTGTGGGTCTATTCAACATTGGTGAGGCCTCATCTGGAGTACTGTGTCCAGTTTTGGGCCCCACACTTCAAGAAGGATGTGGATAAATTGGAGAGAGTCCAGCGAAGGGCAACAAAAATGATTAGGGGTCTGGAACACATGACTTATGAGGAGAGGCTGAGGGAGCTGGGATTGTTTAGCCTGCAGAAGAGAAGAATGAGGGGGGATTTGATAGCTGCTTTCAACTACCTGAAAGGGGGTTCCAAAGAGGATGGCTCTAGACTGTTCTCAATGGTAGCAGATGACAGAACGAGGAGTAATGGTCTCAAGCTGCAGTGGGGGAGGTTTAGATTGGATATTAGGAAAAACTTTTTCACTAAGAGGGTGGTGAAACACTGGAATGCGTTACCTAGGGAGGTGGTAGAATCTCCTTCCTTAGAGGTTTTTAAGGTCAGGCTTGACAAAGCCCTGGCTGGGATGATTTAACTGGGAATTGGTCCTGCTTCGAGCAGGGGGTTGGACTAGATGACCTTCTGGGGTCCCTTCCAACCCTTATATTCTATGATTCTATGACTCTATCCCTCCCCTCCAGCGTATCTACCACTCCTCCCAGTTTAGTATCATCCGCAAATTTGCTGAGAGTGCAATCCACACCATCCTCCAGATCATTTATGAAGATATTGAACAAAACCGGCCCCAGGACCGATCCTTGGGATCAACCCCCCGTGGGTCTTAGGACACTGAAAATCAATCAGGGTCTTAAAAGAAGAATTTTATTTAAAGAAAAGGCAAAAGAATCACCTCTGTAAAATCAGGATGGAAGATAACTTTACAGGGTAACAAAAGATTCACAAACACAGAGGAACTCCTTCTAGGCTTAGTTCAAAGTTACAAAAAACAGGAATAAACCTCCCTTGAGCAAAGGGAAAATTCACAAACTAAAACAAAAGACAATCTAACATGCCTTGCCTGGCTTTACTTACTATTTTTGTAATATTAGAGACTGGTTCAGGATTGGTTGGAGGAGATGGATTTCAGCCTGGCCTCTCTCAGTCCCACGAGAGAGAACACCCAACAAAAAGCACAAACAAAGCCTCCCTCTCTCCAGATTTGAATGTATCTTCTTTCCCCACTGGTCCTTTTGGTCAGGTGCCAACCAGGTTATTTGAGCTTCTTAACCCCTTACAGGTAAGGAGGAACTCTAGGCTACCCTTAGCTGTATGGTTATGACAGGTGTGCTGGTCCTTTAAGGTTGAGGAGGGCACCCCTCCTAGACTAGTGCAACCCTATTCTGGGTTTCCCTAGAACAATATCTGTGGGTCAAGGTATGTGGTCTTGGGGAAGCAATCTGGGATTTTAAAGACAGCCATGCTGCGAACCTCAGCTTTAGGGCACAAAGCCAGAGTTGCACAAACAGCGTGGACTGGACTTCCCATATCCCTCAGTAGTAAGGGACAAAGCCAGCTCACGGTAGCTCCCAGACTCAGAAAGTCTCTCTCTCTCTCTCTGAGATCCAGGAGAGCAGAGTTGCTTAGATTTGTAATCCTTCCAGTAAGTCATGTTTGTAGTCCTGGCTTCTGGGCGGGTCTGTTGGCAAACAGGGGAGGGTAGATACATATCACTCGCCACGCAGATTCTGAGCTGCATTCTCACAGGCCCACCCAGGAATCAAACCCAAGTCTCCTCCTTGATATTACAGATATGTCACACAATGTATTCAGGGAGTCTGAATTAAAGCACAGGTTATTTGCTCCTCCTTACTACACACCTCAGAAGAGTTCAGAAATAGAAATGTACAGGAGACCAAGTCGCTCTCTGCAGAAAGCAGAAGTGCCAATGTACCTTTAAGGGATAATGGGATGAATGCATGAGGAAGGCCATTACTGCCGTGCTGCTCCGACTTAGACCCAGGGTAGAGAAAACCAGAACTGCTCCAAGAGCCATCTGAGCATCTAAACAAAGAAAAGTGCATTACAAATTAGTGTCTTGAAAATCAAAGCCAGACAACTCTCCCCACTCCTGTTATTTTTAAAGTGAATTTCTAATGCTGGTGAAAGGTGCCAGATAAATAGTCCCAGAGACACAAGCCCACTTAAACCACTGAATAGGGACAGCTGGGCAGTGTCAGGACACGTTTCCCTACACTGCCCCAGAAGGGTCCGTCCCATCGCTATAGGATGGATTGGGTTAAGAAGTTAGCTTTTGGACCTACGTTAGCCTAAGTGTGGATGAGTATGGAAAATTGAAGTTGCTAGTGTGAGAAGTTAGAGATAAGTTGGAGACAGAGTGTTATGGGAAAGGAAGAGTTAGCAAGGATAAGATGCAGGGTCATGTTACTGTTATGTTTTGGTTATAACTAGTTTAAGCAAGGTTTTTAATGAGTGTTTTTGAGAACTGTGAATGTTTTATTAAAATGCTATCAATATTTACAGTGTAGGAAGGACATTGGTGCAGATGTTAATTTAAATAATATGTAAAATAAAGAGCCAATAAGGAGCCCACAGCTGAACAGGGGATAGATCCCACTCTAGGGAGCACAAATGACTAATAACAGAGACTTGGTGGGATAACGCACATGACTGGAGTACTGTCATGGATGGTTATAAACTGTTCAGGAAGGACAGGCAGGGCAGAAAAGGTGGGGGAGTAGCACTGTATGTAAGGGAGCAGTATGACTGCTCAGAGCTCCGGTACGAAACTGCAGAAAAACCTGAGTGTCTCTGGATTAAGTTTAGAAGTGTGAGCAACAAGAGTGATGTAGTGGTTGGAGTCTGCTATAGACCACCGGACCAGGGGGATGAGGGGGATGAGGCTTTCTTCCGGCAGCTCGCAGAAGCTACTAGATCGCATGCCCTGGTTCTCATGGGTGACTTTAATTTTCCTGATATCTGCTGGGAGAGCAATACAGCGGTGCATAGACAATCCAGGAAGTTTTTGGAAAGCGTAGGGGACAATTTCCTGGTGCAAGTGCTAGAGGAGCCAACTAGGGGGGGAGCTTTTCTTGACCTGCTGCTCACAAACCGGGAAGAATTAGTGGGGGAAGCAAAAGTGGATGGGAATCTGGGAGGCAGTGACCATGAGTTGGTTGAGTTCAGGATCCTGACATAGGGAAAAAAGGTAAGCAGCAGGATACGGACCCTGGACTTCAGGAAAGCAGACTTCAACTCCCTCAGGGAATGGATGGGTAGGATCCCCTGGGGGACTAACATGAAGGGGAAAGGAGTCCAGGAGAGCTGGCTGTATTTCAAGGAATCCCTGTTGAGGTTACAGGGACAAACCATCCCGATGAGTCGAAAGAATAGTAAGTATGGCAGGCGACCAGCTTGGCTTAACGGTGAAATCCTAGCGGATCTTAAACATAAAAAAGAAGCTTACAAGAAGTGGAAGGTTGGACATATGACCAGGGAAGAGTATAAAAATATTGCTCAGGCATGTAGGAATGAAATCAGGAGGGCCAAATCGCACCTGGAGCTGCAGCTAGCAAGAGATGTCAAGAGTAACAAGAAGGGTTTCTTCAGGTATGTTGGCAACAAGAAGAAAGCCAAGGAAAGTGTGGGCCCCTTAATGAATGAGGGAGGCAACCTAGTGACAGAGGATGTGGAAAAAGCTAATGTACTCAATGCTTTTTTTGCCTCTGTCTTCACAAACAAGGTCAGCTCCCAGACTGCTGCTCTGGGTATCACAACATGGAGAATAGATGGCCAGCCCTCTGTGGAGAAAGAGGTGGTTAGGGACTATTTAGAAAAGCTGGACGTGCACAAGTCCATGGGGCCGGACGAGTTGCATCCGAGAGTGCTAAAGGAATTGGCGGCTGTGATTGCAGAGCCATTGGCCATTATCTTTGAAAACTCGTGGCGAACGGGGGAAGTCCCAGATGACTGGAAAAAGGCTAATGTAGTGCCAATCTTTAAAAAAGGGAAGAAGGAGGATCCGGGGAACTACAGGCCAGTCAGCCTCACCTCAGTCCCCGGAAAAATCATGGAGCAGGTCCTCAAAGAATCAATCCTGAAGCACTTACATGAGAGGAAAGTGATCAGGAACAGTCAGCATGGATTCACCAAGGGAAGGTCATGCCTGACTAATCTAATCGCCTTCTATGAGGAGATTACTGGTTCTGTGGATGAAGGGAAAGCAGTGGATGTATTGTTTCTTGACTTTAGCAAAGCTTTTGACACGGTCTCCCACAGCAAGTTAAAGAAGTATGGGCTGGATGAATGCACTATAAGGTGGGTAGAAAGTTGGCTAGATTGTCGGGCTCAACGGGTAGTGATCAATGGCTCCATGTCTAGTTGGCAGCCGGTGTCAAGTGGAGTGCCCCAGGGGTCGGTCCTGGGGCCGGTTTTGTTCAATATCTTCATAAATGATCTGGAGGATGGTGTGGATTGCACTCTCAGCAAATTTGCAGATGATACTAAACTGGGAGGAGTGGTAGATACGCTGGAGGGCAGGGATAGGATACAGAGGGACCTAGACAAATTGGAGGATTGGGCCAAAAGAAATCTGATGAGGTTCAATAAGGGTAAGTGCAGGGTCCTGCACTTAGGACGGAAGAACCCAATGCACAGCTACAGACTAGGGACCGAATGGCTAGGCAGCAGTTCTGCGGAAAAGGACCTAGGGGTTACAGTGGACGAGAAGCTGGATATGAGTCAGCAGTATGCCCTTGCTGCCAAGAAGGCCAATGGCATTTTGGGATGTATTAAGTAGGGGCATAGCGAGCAGATCGAGGGATGTGATTGTTGCCCTCTATTCGACGTAGGTATGGCCTCATCTGGAGTACTGTGTCCAGTTTTGGGCCCCACACTACAAGAAGGATGTGGATAAATTGGAGAGAGTCCAGCGAAGGGCAACAAAAATGATTAGGGGTCTGGAACACATGACTTATGAGGAGAGGCTGAGGGAACTGGGATTGTTTAGTCTGCAGAAGAGAAGAATGAGGGGGGATTTCCTAGCTGCTTTCAACTACCTGAGAGGTGGTTCCAGAGAGGATAGTTCTAGACTATTCTCAGTGGTGGAAGAGGACAGAACGAGGAGTAATGGTCTCAAGTTGCAGTGGGGGAGGTTTAGGTTGGATATTAGGAAAAACTTTTTCACTAGGAGGGTGGTGAAACGAATGCGTTACCTAGGGAGGTGGTGGAATCTCCTTCCTTAGAAGTTTTTAAGGTCAAGCTTGACAAAGCCCTGGCTGGGATGATTTAATTGGGGATTGGTCCTGCTTTGAGCAGAGGGTTGGACTAGATGACCTCCTGAGGTCCCTTCAACCCTGATATTCTATGATTCTATGAAATGTGTGTGACTTAGAGGAGGAGGTTAAGAAGGAATTTGGGGGAGTAGAGGAGTGTCTCCCCACTGATCACATGGGAGGGTTTGCCCAGACCAGATTTGCTGGGTCGGCGTCTGTGCTCCCAGGCACCCAGCCCGTGGCTCAGGTTTTAAGAGGGAAATGTGTAACTGACCTCCCAGAAGGGAGCAGTCATACAACTGACCTCTTGGGAACAAAGAGAGGGGTGACAGAGGGTATCCCAATACAGGTCCCACTTTTGCAAAATGCTGTTCCTAATGTACTTGTGAAAACTAACTCTGTCTCTTTAAGACAGGATAAGAATCCTACTAACGACTTGAGTGTCAGTGAAAATGCTAATGACCCACCTGAGAAAGGGGAGGAGGAAGCAATCTCCCGGGCAGGTAAAATTCACCCAGAAACTAAGCGAAAGCTGCTGAGAGAAGGGGGTGGGGAAAGTTCCAATGTTTGGAGTGAAAATTACAAAGAAACCCTAGAAGGGAGGGTGGATTTTTTGTATGGGCACAGCTCTGGAGATGGAATGCAGCTCCATAGGGAGCCGGCCAGTAACAGCCAGCACAGCAGAAAAACCATAACAAACCTAGACTGCTGTGTGGAAGGGGAAACTGAGGCACACCATCTCATGGCATTGGTGGCTAAATGCCAAGACACCTACACTCCAAAGGTGTTGAGATCTGCATTATGTTAACAATGCTACACACAAAAATGTTTCCTGGCAAAAGAAACACAGAGCTTTGCAAAAACACCTGTGGATGACACTCCAATGTTTGGTAAAACTTGGGATTTGTAGAACCATGACCTAAGGAGGACATCAGGCACACTGCCTTTGTATTTGTCAGTGACTAACCCTCTGACAGTAATCTGAGGGGGGAGGTGTGACACTATGCCCCATATTCTTCATAGAGATATGGTTCTGATATGATTATGGCATAACTAAGTTGTATTTTATGCAAGATATGTCATGTGAGGTATCATTGAAAAGGTTATGATTCACTGAATGTGATTATCCTATTTTTATGCATGTATCATTTTTGTATCTAAAGTTAGGAATATTGTCTAGGCATCTATTACAAATGTGTTTACACCAGGGGAACACCCACTAGGCAGAATGCAATCAGTCTAGATTGCTGGCTGGAAAGGGCCATTAGGGAGAACAGTAGGTCTTGGAAGATGCTAATCTCCCATCCGGGAGCCATTCTGGGAGGCCATTCCTGAGGACCTTACAGACAGCCTCTGTCTCATGGCTGCTGTGGTCCTACAGAGACATGTGACCAAGTCACCTGGTACTGGACTCCATGATAATACAAGTGTTTTTCCACTGACTGGGGCATGGGAATAAAAGTGGGAGACAAAGGGTTCTCGCCATATGTAAAACCTATTTAAGGCAGGGGAGTGACATCATCGTAGTTCGTTCTTCACTGACTCCCCGCCCAAGAAAGAAGACTGCTGAAAACACCTAAGAAACAAAAGACTTGAACTTGGGGGAAGGGCTGAGCCCAGGCTAGAGGGTTTACTCGCCTGTAAAAGGAATATCTGGAGTTTTAAGCTGTTAGCAAGTGCAGCTTGCCTTCAAGAATCTCTGCATTCTGCCTAAAACAACATTCAGAGTGAGAATTTGCTAGTTATGACCACTTTATTTAGCGTATTAAGCTTAGGCTGCGTTTTTTGTTTTATTTGCTAGGTAATCTGCTTTGATCTATTTGCTATCCCTTATGATCACTTAATAACTATCTTTTGTAGTTAATAAACTTGTTTTTGTTTTGTCTAAAACCAGTGTGTGGAAATCATAACTTGGGGCAGAAAGCTGTGTATATGCCTCTCCACTTTGAGGGAGGGGGCGAATTTCATGAGCTTATGCTATACAGTTCTCTGTGCACCGCAAGATGGTATAATTTTGGGTTTACCCTCTAGAGCGGGGTGCATGCCTTAGGAACTGGGAGGTGCCTTAGCTTTGCCTTCCCATGCAGGGGCTGGTTAAAGAACCTGTGTGCGTAGTGCTGCACCTGAGTGTATCCCTACCTGTGTGTATGCTGGTGAAATAGCAAGCTTTGAGAGCTTAGCAACTTGTCACAACATTACAGGGTAAAAAGGGAGTCCAGGCTGGTGGGTCAGGCAGGCTCAGTGTTACCCCAGTTCCAGGTGGCACCCCGAGAGTGGGGGAACCCATCACACCAGTAAATGGACTGAACACCTCCAGTAAGCAGTGGCTGTTGGGACCATGTTTCTAGGGGTTAAAACTACAAACCTCCACACTCAAAGGAACAGTGTGCACACTTGATAGTTGTAGATCAGAAACCACTCACCTATGAAGTGACAAATGGTGGGGAAAAAGGAAAAAAGATCTGCGTCGGGGGAATCTGCCACAGACACATGAAGTGTTTTGCTTTCATCTGTGAAACTGGAAAGGGAGCGCACAGAAGAGATGTTAAACAGGCCAATAAAGTAGCTCTGCCAAATTCTACTTGCCTGGGGCAAATCAGTAATATTTTATTTGCATTTCCATGAGTAATAACTTTTCATTGTCATCAGCATAGTAAGGAAGGGTGAGTAAGACACTGAGGCTGCATTAGGTGCATAACCAATAGTTCCATTATCAGTCAGCCACCCTAAACTGTGTTGGTATTTATGTATTAACATGACCCTATAGTATGTTCTACCTGGGAGTTTCATGAAGGCAGATAGCTGAAAGCAAGTGTTCTTTCATGTCAGACATGTTTTAGGAGTTTCCTAAATATATAATTAACATACACAGATGCTGCTCCATGTGGTTTCTTATTAAGGTGTTATACACCTCACAAGGTATCTCACCTCACTGAGAAAAGGCTGCAAAACAATGAAGAGGAATTTTTAAGCTATGCAGATGCATTTCATGTAATGAGCAGTGACTCAGAGCTGAGAGTTCTCTGAGATTTTTGAGGGTTCTCTTTGGAGCCAGATCCACAAGAAATGCTTGGTTATTACTAAAACTGGCTGTGCAGACGTAACCAGGCAGAAAGCTATATTCTTCCTCACTCGCTTCATGCTGGTCACATCCTTGCAAAATGTCACTGGGTTTTTGGCTGTATCGAGCTGTAGTTCTAATATCACTCGCCCACTGACTTGAGTGGCTAGTCAAATAGCTTCAGTCTTTGACAAATACAGAAAAAGAAGTAAGAGGAATCACACAAAAGGTAAATGAATTACATTTTAAAGCATGTTGGTTTGTAAGTTTTCCTCTTAAACGTTGTTTCAAAATTTAGCATTAGGCCCATTGTGAGGATTGGTGCTAAGTATTGAACTCCTAGGCCCAGATTAGGTACCTCTGAGGATCTGGGTCCCAGTGCTAAAGATCCCATTCTTGCTCTACATAGTCTCACTTCTTCTGAGTTACGGTAGGCTGATGCAGTAATGAGTCATTGCTTTGCAACCTCTATAGCAGAGAAGTCAGAAGAACAAGCATTAAATAGCTTTAAGTTTATCCCACTACTTCTAATCACCATCCTACTCTGACTGAATGAGTATCTCACAAGGTTCCTGGAAGGTTTCCTAACATGCAGCTTCGATGCAAATCTAACTGGACCATTTGACTTACAGTGTTGCAATCTCCTCTGAGATGTTGACTTGTGCTTTGATTTTCAGATCCTTCTGAATCTGTTGGTCACAGGCCTGTCTGCAATCTCCCATATATAACTGACCGGGCAATATCTCTACAGGGTATGGCTGAAGAGCATCCAGTTCCTGCACAAGAGAAACAAAAGGATCAATGCAGTTGAAAGAACTGTATATCTATTTGCCTTAATCTTAGTTTGTAAAGTTCTTAAACCTGAATCCTGAGAAGAAATGAACCAGTGCTAAGTTTATGTTCTGCACCTACATTCAAACAGAAATGGAGTACATTCATTTAATCAGACAGATATTCTGAAGATCAGAAGTTATCTCTAGACTCAGTCAATGAAATTAACATGGTCACTGCCAATGTGGCCCTGCTGGAATAAAAAAAAGAATAAGAGATAGACTATGTCCTTTGTAATGTAGGGAAGGACACTAGTACCTCAGATTAATTAGAGTTTATTAATTACTTGGTACAATGCCAAATGAAACCACTTGCCAAATGGGACTGGCAGATATAGTGTGACTGCATAACACAACTCCAACTCATCGCTTCTACCAGAGCACGAAAAATTCTGAGCATAGCTTAGCAGCCTACTATTTGGGCAGCATGAAGGCTAAGGACAAAATTCTGTAGCCATGCCAAGGGTGGAAGGGAAGAGGGTTGAGTAGTGACTGTGCACCAGTGTTCACCACTGAAATGCAGCCCTCACTAGGATGAGACACAATAGCTGTTTGACAGCACAAAGCTGCACTGAACAATAGTTTAGAGAAGGCAGATAGGAGAATGCTGTATCTAACTGTAACTGCCGTGAGAATTGAGGTAGATGGAGTGTCAGGCATCACAAAGAAGCAAAAAAGGGCACAAAAACAATTAATTTTCTCCTTTGCACCTTGTGTGAAATAGAAGAAGTAACAGAAAGAAAAGACATGTTGCAGTGACGAGTCACTACCTTTTATTTTTTTTTTAAGCCTTGCCCTAGATGTTAAAGTGGGATGCTTATCTCTCATGCCTAAGCAGGCTCCAGTCAGGTTAATATTTGGATAAGAGAACGCTGCTGGAAATAATATAAGTGACTCAATAGGTGGCCCTTTTCTCCCTGAGTCAATACTGAAAAAAATGTATCCATTTGCTTTGTGATCCTTTGGGATGAAAGCCATTGCATGTAAGAAGTTATTAAAGACATATTATCATTTAAAAAAAAAAAACAACAGTCACAATTTCCGCCAAACATGTTTACCTGCTATTGTTATAACATCTCAGATGAGGATAACTGAAAGAGATTTGTTTAATCTAACCGCACTTTCCGGTTAGTCAGTTTCCTCTGTTGTTTTTGTGAGTTTTTCCCCACAACATCAGGGAGAGAAAAATAGATACTTGTGGTTGTAAAAGAACAAAAATTAGCAGAGGGACTCAGGGGCAAGGGTATTACTTGAAATGACTTTTGACTCCTTTTTTAAAATTGACTAGACAGCAGATTGACAGTGTCCCTTTAATTATTACTAGGGAATTCACTGGAATTAGTTGAATGTACATAGAAAAATTCTGTTTATAGCATGAAAGCCTGGCCCTTCTCTCCAATAATCTCACCTGAGGCATCCAGAATATCTTCTGAGTCCTCAAGAAATGGTAGCACGCAGTGAAGCGCTCATACCCTCCTTTCAGGATGCGGACAGGGTGGCGGGTTAATTGCTCTAAGACTCTGGCACACTGGATGGCAGCACCTACCTCAGCATCTAAAGACATGGAAAAGCTATTATACACGGTTGCTGCAGGGAATCAGATGCGGGAGAGGGTTATTTCCAACAGGCCCTGAGTACTTGGGGTGAAATCCCGACCCTACTGACATCAGTGGCAAAACTCCCTTTGGCGTCAGTGGGGCCAGGATTTCACCCTGATGTCTGAAGAACCTTGAGAGAGCAGGATTAAAAGCTACAATCACTCTCCAGCCACTGCTGCTGTAAGGAAGCCACTGGGGATGTTTCTGACATTCCCTGCGTACCTCTTTTTCTATTGTCACTTTTTTTTTCCTGTGGGGAACGTGTTTTTCTTTCTCTTGCTCCTGTCATAGGTCCAGGTATTATTTTAACTCCTGTTATTCTCTGTGGATCCCCTGCAGTGAGGTACACCTCAGAGAAGTACTGCTATTTTAAAACTAAATAATATTCCTAGTTCTTGGGGTGGCTTTTTCTTTGCCTCATTATGCCACCAAACAAAAGGCAGAGGGGACACAGGGACGTGCCTTGGGAAATTTTCCCATCTTTGATCTTAACATGACCCCAAGTGGGGCTAAAAATAGGGGATGTAGGATGTTTTCCTCCCCAGACTCATCTCTGATTGCCTTCAGCTGTATCTACTTTAGAAGCAGTTAACTTAGCACAATGGAAATCTGATTCTGGTTCTCCATCGCATTCCATTTTTCATGTCTCATTGGAGATGATTTTCTCTGCAATAAAACTCTGAAATAAGGTCCCATTTTAGTGTGTACCTAATGAGACTATTCCTGTGAGCAAGTTATGCATGTACATAAATGTCTGTAGGATTGGCTCTTAGATTTAGAACAGGAGTCTCGATCAGACCGTTTCAAATCAAATTACATGTTTAGAACAACGTACCACAGATACAGAAGAAAAAAAATCAATGAGCTTGATGCAAAGATGAAGGCTTTACATTTTCCAGTGCCTAATGATTTAGTGTATCAATTCTGGGGTGCCCAAGTTGAGACACCATAAAGGTATCTGAATTTCAGAAAGTGCCGAGCACCCGCTCTCTGAAAATCAGGTCTCTTTAAGAAGTCTCAAGTTGAAGCACTCCAAATTGTTCGTCACTTTTGAACATATAGGCCCAATGATTTTCCTGTACAGAATGTGAGCCCTAAGCCTTTTATTCCATAATGACCTCTGAGCAGACAGGCCATTGCAGAATCAAGGCCTAAAGCTCTGATTGGAGCATATACCAAAGGCAAGGTACGGGTTTGTTCACTTCTTAGGCCTGGTCTACACTGGGAAATTAGGCCAGGATACTGACATCGCTCAGGGGTGTGAAAAACCACACTGTGCTGCTGCATGCGTAGACAAGACTTTCGTTAGGTTTTCTGGAAAAGTTTATCCAGAAAATAGCAACTAGCTGGCTTTTCAGAATTCACAAAGCTACTTTTAAGAAATTAGCAGTTGAAATGTCAACTTTCTTAGCTTTGTCACTTTCAAACTAATGCCTGAAACAAGGTGAAATGTGCACAAAGTGGATCATATCCTCTTAAAAACATCTGTATTTGCAAAATACTTCTATGCTAACTAGAACTGTTATCGCAACACTGGATAACGGGGGGCAGGGGAGATCTAGAAGCCAGGGCTGTGATTCTGCAATGAGCTGCCATGTCACTACAAGTTCAGGGTCTAAAAGGTAATCTGCCATTTGGGAAAAAATAATTTCAATGTTTCCTGGTATCTTTAAATGAACTCAACAGATGCACAAAGCTATCAGTGCCACGATCTGCATTTTATTCTCTGGGTTTCCAGACCTAAGCATTTGCCACAGAACTTCATCTAATTACTACTCTCATTAAAGGTAAGTCCTATTTTTGTTACTATGATAATGCAAATTCTTCTTTTTTTTTATCCTGAGCTTACTAACAAAAAGAAAGAACTCACTTTGTGAACATGAAGAACTGGATTTAGATCTTGAGGTCTCTGAGGCAGCTTTAGTCCCTAAAAAAGCAATAAATAAACAAACTCAACCCCAGTTGAACTGGGAAAAATAGCCTATTTTCCACTGAAATAATTTTGAAAGTAAAGGGTTCACACATATTAGAAGAGGAGCCAGCCTAGACCCAGGGACCGTGAAAGAAAATCTAGGTTTAGAAAGCCTAGAATAGAACATGTGAAATAGTATGCCAGACAGAGGCTTATTGATGGTATTTACCAAAATAAAGGCTGTGCACTTAAATATTCTTGTCACGTTATTTGAAATAGCAGTAAGGTAACAAAGGCAAATGAGGAATGAGAGGCATTCACATACCAAGGTGGTGAGCTTGATAGAAGAGAACAGAATACAGCTGAACTGTGAGCTGTAGTAAGAATCTCTTGCTAGCCAGTAAACATACCCTTTTCATCCTTCTCCTTCTCCTCATAATCATCATAATAGGTATCATCCAAAAAGCTGGTTTTGCCATCATACACGACACAATATTTGACACACTCCAGCTCAACTGATTCAGGTACCAGATATTCCCCCATAGGATTCTAGCAAAACCACAAAAGAATCTTATTAGGAGAGGGACTGCATTTTTCCTCATGGAACTATCCCTAGCAATTTCTTCCAAATTACCTTAGTACCTTAGTTTGTACCTTAGTTTGAAGAAAGTGGGCAGAATTCAGAAGTGATGTAATTTACATGTCAGCAAGTGGGTCTGGGTCTAAGTCTATGGGAGAGCTAGGGTGGTGTGTAACTTATATGCCGAGGAACTGCAAGAAGATGTAAGCTACACCAACTCATTCCTGATTCACTGTTGCCTTTCACCCTGAGCAATCATTTACACCAATGTAAAGTGGGTATAACTACTTCAGAATGGTAGCGATTTACATCTACATTGCACAACTGTAAATGCAAAGCAGTGGACAGTGTGGCCTCCTCAGAGTCACCCCTTTGTTTCATCCTGTCCTTTGAGCATCAGCTTTTCCCCCCAGATCTCTGAATGTGTTTCCCCCTAAGTTAGCAGCCTCCAGCCCTGCAGTATTTATTTATCACTGCAATGGTCACCATGGAACTATTTTAGACCAGCTCAACTGTTCCTATTTTCTTGAAATCTTCACCTGTAATTTTTATTGAATGCAGTGATGTTTACCAGTGAAGGCACTTAAGGCTGCGATTTGCAAAGCCACCTAAGGGAGTTAGAAGCACAGTTCCCATTAATGGGACTTGTGTAAATAACTCCTTTAGGTGAATCCCAGAAGTTAGAGATGGAAAATACCTAGAAGGTCACTTTGTCGGCTTACCTGCCAATACAGTAGATTTTTGAATGCTTTGTCCTCTCTAATGTTAGACATCTCAAGCAATGAGGGTTTCCCCTCAGCCCTTTGTTAGACAACTCTGCAGTGTAATAGCTCTTATTGCTGGAATATTCTTCCTGATATTCAATTTCAATGTCTCCCTTCTTTAGGCTACTATAATCTCACTTCCCCTCTTTTCTACCCTAATCTGCATCAACTCTTGTGGGATAACTTAAACGTTCCAGAATCAGGCAGGGGAGTTCCTCATCCTTTTCGGCTAATTCTATCTCATTGCTAAATGCTAAATCCTAGACTCATTAGTGTGTGTGTCTCATTAATGATCCAAAGCATTCACCCCTGCTGGAACACAGGGATACAAAGGTGTTCTCTTCCCATGACAGCAAGGGCTGCTGTGCCTGAGAAAGATACCCCCCTGAGAAGCCTAAGTGGTGTTTACACTGCTACTTTCTGGAGGAGGGGCAGCTTTAGCTTGCTGTCAGCTCCCTGGAGCCCTTTTGGTGACACTGACCAGGTGATATGCTCATTAGTGTACCCCTCTCCCCCCAACCAGAACAGAAGGTCATGGACAGCACACATGAATGACAAACCCACTTGAAACCATAACTTACCTGTTTAACCCTTCTTGCTGTAATCACATGGCTTTCATTGTACTCACGCTTTGTACGGGCATCTGAAAATAACAATGAAGATTGTGTGAATGGCTTACATAGTGTCTTCAAGACAGAATCCTGCTCCTAATGAAGCCAATGGCAGTTTAGATTGCAAAGAGCTCTACAAATCTTACAACTAGATACCCATCACCAAAATACAGATTGTAAACATTTTCTTCATGGGATTCCATGTTTATTGTGCCTATTGACTTTCAGATTAAATGTCTCCGTTTGCAAGCAAAACAATATTTTTTCAAGATGTCAGCTTTATGAATTTAACCTGGGGTCTGAAAATCAAGCTGCATTATTTCCTTCTCATATTTCATCACCGAAATTCTGCAGATTTCTGCAGGACCAAAGATTCTGCAGGACCAAAGTCTGCAGTCCTTGCATGGAGATTGCATAAATGTAATACAGGGCAGAATTTGGTGCTGCAACTGGAATTTAGCAAACAATTCTATTGATGATGCAAAAGCCAGACCAGTATCCAGCAATTTCTCCCATAACTCTATTCCTCTACTGTGCTAACCCAAATAATAGTTACAATTTATTTTGTTATTACATTAAATAGATATGATGGAACGCACCCAGAGAGCAAGTGTGTAGAGTATGTAGGTGCCATTTTAACGTGACCACTTTTATAATATGGCAACATTAAAACAATGTCTATGAAAAATTTCTAAATGAATCAGTAGTTCCTATTATAAAATAATATAACTCATTAACATTTATATAGCACTTCATGTATTCAAAGCATCGTTCAAACATTAACTAATTATTCCTCCCAACAACTCTGTGAGGAAGGCAATATTATCAGGCAAAATTAATCCCAGGTGTAATTAAATGGATTTACGTCAGGTATGGATTTGGCCCATTATCACCATTTGACTGAGGGGAAATTGACTGAGAGCCAATTCAGAGATGATATAAAAGGTGTTGTAAGTTACACACAGGTAAGGTACATGAGGGATAGCTCAGTGGCTTTAGCTTTGGCCTGCTAAACCCAAGGTTGTGAGTTCAAGCCTTGAGGGGGCCATTTAGGGATCTGGGCCAAAAATCAGGAATTGGTCCTGCTTTGAGTAGGGGGCTGGACAAGATGACCTCCTGAGATCCCTTCTAACCCTTATATTTTATGATTCTAAGGTGACTTAAGGGTGTAATTTACATGCTGACAGGGTGGGACTGGAGAGTGGTGTGTCAGAGAAAGCAAATAATACAAATCGGCAACAAAGCCGGAGGTGTCTGCTTTCCTGTTACTTGCTTTTCCTGTTATACCCCTTTCTTCCACCCCCCCACAGCAAGTAAGTTACACCTACTTAAAGGCACGCAATTAACACTTTCATTTACACCATTTCTAAATTTAGTCCAGAGAGATTAAGTGGACAGCAGCAGAGCAAGCAGTGGACTCAGCATTTTCCCGGATTCCAGACACATGCTCAGTCCTCAAGACAATGGTGCCTCTTCTAAGGCTATGTCTGCACTGCAAATAAAGGTATATTTATTACATTAAGACACCTATTCTGAGAAAGCCACCTCAATGTGAAATCCTAGTGGACACAAGTCAACTCCTGTGTCTCGTCTCAGCTAGGCTTTCACATTGAGATGCTTATCTCCAAATAATGACAGGTTTCAGAGGAACAGCCGTGTTAGTCTGTATTCGCAAAAAGAAAAGGAGTACTTGTGGCACCTTAGAGACTAACCAATTTATTTGAGCATAAGCTTTCGTGAGCTACAGCTCACTTCATCGGATGCATACTGTGGAAACTGGAGAAGACATTATATGAGTTGAATCAGGCCCTTTGTAAAATGACTGTACAAGGTTCAGGGCAACAGGGATAGGTCTCTCATTCCTGTTTGAACCATTAGTATCATATGATTGTATGGTGCCCAGAGGTCTTTGTAAGTCACTGTGATTTTATGTATAGCAGTTAGTATTTTACTTTGTAGCTGCATCTTTTATTAGAATTTGGGAGACTATTTATCTTCGGCTATGTCTTCACTACAAATATAGATGTGTTTTACAGTGAGATAATTATTTGTTAGTCTCTAAGGTGCCACAAGTACTCCTTTTCTTTTTGCGAATACAGACTAACACGGCTGTTACTCTGAAACTCCCATTACAGTTACTAGGCATCTTTTCACTGACTTTTATGGCAGTTGGGTCACTCCCAAAGCATATACAAAGTTTTCCAACAATTTAGCCCCAATAATTAAACAAAAGAATGACCTGTATGACAAATTGCACAACAAAAATACACATCAACACTCTCATTAGCTTACCCAGTAAACAGAGATAGTTAGGCTCAGTTAACCTGGAGAGCTTCGTGGACTGGTTCAAGATGTTGTAAAGCTCTGTGGGCTCACAGAGAACCAACCCTGCCATTTTACTGGATGGAAATAATAATTAAAGAGTCAATACATTCTTAAAAAGTGAGTTCTTGCAAAATAACCAAGCTAACATGAAGAATTTACTTTTTATTCATCCCAACTCATCTATGAATGAAAACAATAACTTTGAGCCCAAGCTTGAGTCCTTAAATCCTTGCCTTCATAAGGGATATTTGCTCCATGAGAACTGCAAGATCAGACTTTTTAAAATATAGGTCAGAATTCAATCTAAAAAAATCTAATTTAAATAGTGAAATATAAAAATGGAATATAATGTACATTGTACAGAGCATCCAAACCTGTGCACATCACTCAGATATGAAACGAACAAGGACAGATCCTATTGCCTAAAATCATACAGACTAACACAGCTGCTACTCTGAAACATTTCTTAAAACTGTTTTCTTGGAGAAAAAAATCCATGTTCAGTATTTCTATATTTAGGGACTGAGTGGTGCTGAGGCTGACCCCACTGGCAGATGTAGGAGCTCAGCATTTCACAGGATTGGGGCCATGGTCATTAACAATTTATTTCTCAGTAATTTAGAAACATGTGTTTCCCAAGTGTCTGTGTTGTTAGGAAACAGAATAGATAGACACCACTCCTGCTGGCAATGGGAGACGGAAAAGCCTGAGATCTTCCTCTGACCAGATCCAACCTTCCCCGCCCACCATCCCCTTGGAGTTTCTCTTTATATTTTGTAAAAATATATGACATCAAATTTCAATTAATGCAAAATAGTACTCTGTTCAATGCCACTTCCATGGAGTGTGTAGCAGTAGTACCCAGGGTGTCTGTTGCTATGGCATCAGTTGCCATGGCACCTATCACACCTGTGGCATCCGTTGCCATGGCACCCATGGAGATTTATTAGCATGACACCTGTGGCATCCGTTGCCATGGCACCTAACACGCCTGCGGCATCCGTTGCCATGGCACCTGTGGCATTTGCTGCCATGGCACCCATGGAGGTCTGTTGTCATGACACCCGCGGCCCCTGCAGCTGTGCCCCCTGTGGTACCCATTCTGACTGTCCAGATCGCGCTAGCTCAGGCGGGGTCTTGAAAGCCCTGGGCCCAGCCCCACTCCCAGCTCACCTCCCGGTTGCTACGCAGCGACGCTCGGCCGTAACCAAGGCTGACGTCAGTTGGGGACCACCCCTTGCCCAGCTCTCGCGATCCTTTGGTGGGCGCAGTCTCGCCCGGGCGCGCCTTGAGCGGCAAATCTCGCGGGGCTTGGGGCTGGCTCTCTCGCGTTGCCCGGAGGCCGGAGTCGCGGGGGCGGAGGCGATCTCGCGGTGCTGCCTGTGGTGGAGGTCGTTGGAGTCACCGTCCCGGGCCCGTCATGCTGCTCTCCCGCCTCAGCGGCCCCGCCGCCGCGCTCCGCAGGGGGATCGCCACCTCGGCCCAGGTACCGGCCGGGCGCGGGCCCGAGGCCTGCCCCGCGCGCCCCCTCCCGGGCCCCGCGCGCGCCGCTCCCCTCCCCCCGCTCCCGCGCGCTCCCCCCCCCCCCCCCCCCGCGCGCTCCGCTCCCCCCGCTCCCGCGCGCTCCGCCCCCCCCCCCTCCCTCCCCCCCGCCCCCTCCCCCCCCGCGCGCGCTCCCCGCCCCCGCGCTGCCCCGCGCGCTCCCCTCCCCGCGGGCGGGCTGCGCTTTGCTCTGCGCCAGGGGAGCGTCGCCGCGCTGCTCTTCAGTCCCTGCCCCGCCCCGGGACCCGACTGCTTGGGGTGAAATGGGGAGGGGGTCCCCGCGCGGGGCCTTCCACCACGAGCACCCCCCCCTTCGGCCAGGCAGCCCCACCTGGGAGCCTTGGCTGTAGGGCAGCCCCCTCCCCCGCTCCAGACGGGGGGGGGGGGAATTGAAGCGCAGCCCGGGGTGTGACTGCCCCAAGGTCACACCGCACATCCCAGCCCTGACTGCCTTTGACTTGCCCTGGCTGCGAGGCCACGCTCCCCCGAGATCAACCGGTCGCTTCTCCACCCCCCTTCCCCTTTACACGGGGTCGCAGGTGCCAGCGATTCTTCCCCGCTCCTTGCGGCCCCTGTCCTGAGCTTGTAGGTTTTAGGCGTCAGGCATTTTTCTTTTCAAATGCCTCTTGACAGTCCTTCCATCGCCTCTTTGGTCTTGCTCATCCTTTTTTGCTGTCCTCCTTCCCATGCTTCCTTGTTGCTTTTCTCCCGTTCGTATCCTATGTCCAGCCAGCTTAGGCGTGTGCTCTCCCGCCTGTCTCCTGTGGGACAAATCAGATGTGTTGAAATGGGGTCTTTTCAGTTTAACTCTACTATGCCCATGGCACATGTAGTCAGTTATGGTGTTACACGCTGCTTGTTAAATTTAATGCTTACGTTTGAATGACGAATGTTAACTTGAGAGACAAGGTGGATGAGGTAATACCTTTTCTTGGACCAACTGTGGTCCAATAAACCTCTGTGTGGCTCAAAAGCTTCTCTGTCATCAACAGAAGTTGCTGCAATAAAAAATATTACCTCATTCACCTTGCCTTGCTGATATTCTGGGACCAGCATGGTTGGAACAACACTGCAACCAAGTATTACCTTATTTAAGTTGGATCGCCTGTTAAATAGTTACTACAAACAACAAAACAGGCTAGACATGGGGTAGCAACCCTGAAATACTGGAGTGAAAGGTGGGGCATATTGGACATCTTTAGGTGTCCAGCAACACAAATAGTTGAAGGTATTAATTTTGTGACACTGGGCCACAAAATAAACATGCCATTCTGCTTCTCTATCCTTTTGGCTATTCACTTCTGATCAGGACAGAAATGGTCTCTTATTGGTCAGATGTAGCTAGTAATCAGCAGGTGTGTGGCGACTAAATATTGACAACATTTTAATGGAGCTGAGAGGTAGATTGGTATTGATTACATCAATCCTTTCCTGAACATAAGTATTGAATTGTTTCAAAGTAATGATGGGAATTAAGGGTGGAGGCTGCCGATTAAATCTGTTTAAGTCAATTTATGCATGAAATTTGGTCTTTGTTATGGGGGGAAGACTAGCATTCTATTGCCTTCTATCTTAAGTAAATAATTTCTCAGTGGTGAAGTGTTCATTTAAGAGGACTATGTCTTAATCACAAGAGACTATAAAGCTGATTGTGTAAAGGGGACGACTAATAGAAACATTCAGACATACTTAGAAATGAACTCACTGCCTATTAATTTTCTCATGATTTCAAGGCATTTAAAAGATTTATAAGACTTCTTACCCTAAGTGTGATTTCAAACAATGCAGACTTGAGGTTCATTGGTCACTTCATAGCAGTACACTGCCTATGACCATTGCTAGATTTTGATCTCTGTGGGAGAGAGCATTTATGCAGAATTTTACTTTCTCCAGTAACAAGCAGGCTGGATTACTGCCAAAGTGAATCCACGTTTTGATAAATAGTCTAATTACTGTTTTGTCACAGTGATATAGTCTTCCCCCTTTAAAGATAGAGCCACTTAAACAGATTTTTCAAAGGGATTGAAGAGTTCAGGGGCCCAATTCCCATTGATTCTTAGTGGGATTTGGGCTCCCAGTTCCTTTGGGCCCATTTGAAAATCCCAGCTTTAAACATTAGTCATTAAAGCTATATGATTTATATACTGAGTCAGTACATTCATTTTAAAGGGGCACTGATTCCAATGTACCTTAGCAAGATAATTCTATCAGTAAAATAAACTTTCTTCTATTAAACTTCAGCTGCATTTAATTTTCCTTCTAAAAATATGAACATGAGGCAGTGCAGAGGTGAGAATGCAAAACTTCGTTTTCGGCAGCCCTTTTACGAGTCAGAAACTACCTCTGAAAAATGCAGCAGGTAACCTAGTCTAAACAATAAGTATTAATGCATATTCACTCTCTGCAATCTAAGTGGATAGAGTTCTTAATCAGGAACTAAGAGCAGAATTCTGCATGGCAAGAGCAAACTACTAAAAATAGTATCTTCTGTATAATTCAAATTTCTGTTTTCAAGCAGTAGCGCTAAGCACACTCATTCAAGAAATCTATTCAAAGACTTGCGCTCCGCTTTTATGCTAACCCATGCAGCCTGATAGCTGGTTAGGAGCATACCTTTGTGTGTTCATGTACTGCTTGTTAAAGGCTCAAAATTGTCAATCAGGCATAGTAAAGGTCCTCTAGTCACACAAGATGGTACAACAAGGCCATACGAGTGTTCTCTCTCACTGCTCTACCAGTGTGTCTTCATCCTGATCTAGTGCTATCAGATGGCAGTTTAGTTACATGAGTTGGGTTTCATCAACTAGCAATCTATTGTAGAGGATAGAGGCTTCATAATGATTCACCGGACCATGTCATTTTAACACTGCAGTTAAGTGGTTCCTGCCACTCCAGTAGAAAAAGTGATGCACCGCTTGTTTGCGAACACATGAATTTAGCAGCCACATTTCAGGATTTTTCTTCACTGCCTTGTTAACTTGAACTATAACTCAAGTTTTGCCCCTAACGCAACTCCTGTCCACAAACTCATCTATTTTGTTTGTGGTGCTTTAAGCTAGAGCTAGCTGGCCTGTTATGGAGGGTGGGTTGAAGCCCAAATGCTGCTAACACTAGAGCTAGTAATGCAGTGGAGATGCAGCAGCTCAAGATACAACTCATCAGCTGCTAATCGAATAAGTAGCTGGAACGTCCTGCAGCATGGTCACTCACTGAGCTAGCTTAGGAGGAAAGCAGATTCTTTCTTCTCATATTGACAACTAAAAATGGAATAGCCACAGAATTGTGTTTCCCTACAAAACCAGAAGGTAGACCCATAGCTAGGGCCCTACCAAATTCACAGTCCATTTTGGTCAATTTCATGGCCACGGGATTTTAAAAATCATAAATGTAATGATTTCAGGTATTTAAATGTGAAATTTCACAGTGGTGTTGTTGTTGTAGGAGTGTTGTGTGTGGGGGGTGTGTGTGGGGTTCCCCAATTTGAGAAATGTTAGTCTTCTCCCGTCAAATCTGTATAGTATAGGGTAAAAGCACACAAAAGACCAGATTTCACGGTTGTTTTTTTTCATGGTCTTGAATTTGGTAGGCCAGTACTCCTAGCAGAGTTCTGGATGGCATTTGCCATGTTGGGGGGGAGGGAATCTCCAAATTGAGAGACAATTGTTTATTTGATTACCTTTCCTTACTGAAAAGAATCCAGCTTTGAAGAAGCATGCATCTCTTAAATGTTTGTCTTGTCTCTCCAAAGACTTGCTGCTGATATTCCCTTTAAGAAATTATGTCTTCCATAAGAATTTAGTTTTGAATCCAGTTTGCCCACTGTCTGGTTTAAAACAAAACTAAACTTAGACAAATAGAGCTCTTCAAAAATCAGTAGCAAAAAAGTGTGATGAAGGCTCCAAAGCCATTACTGAGTAACTACTAAAAACCATGTGTGTCCTTCTTTCTTTTCTCCTCAGAGCAATGCTAAAGTGGCAGTGCTTGGTGCCTCTGGAGGGATTGGCCAACCTCTTTCCCTTCTACTGAAGAATAGCCCCTTAGTGAGCCACCTCAGCCTATATGATATTGCTCACACCCCTGGTGTTGCAGCTGACCTCAGCCACATTGAGACAAGAGCCAATGTCAAAGGTATCGTAAGTCATTGTAAATTATCTGAGGCACGTTACTGCACACACCGGTCCTAGCTTGAAATGATTCTTAAATGTGTTACGTGTAGGCTACACACCAATATTACTGTATATGAAGTGGGGAACTACTTGTCCTTTATAAATTAAATTCCTGTTAACTTGAAACTAAAACTGGAAATGGCTTATTTCTCCGAATAACTTCTCAGAACAAGATTTAGTTAAATAGATCAGCTGCTGCTGAGATGGTCAGAACATCTTTAGCTACTTTTTCACTTTTTTTTTTTTTTGTCCACTGAAAAACTATTTATGGTTAATGTGACAGTTCACACTGGCTACCAGAATAAATTCAGTAAAAATTGAGACATTTGATCATAGACTTTAGCTAGCAGCTGTATTTTCTTACTTCCATAAACTCAGAACTTTGTAGGAAAAACCGGTTACCATAGTAGCTCTTTGAGAGAGCCTGTCTGAATCTACACTTCTAGAATGCATCTCCCAAGGATGTGGCTTGGTATAGGCAATCTCAAAGAAAAATTCTATCTAAACTTTCACTTTTATGATATGTTTACTCTTCTGGTTTCCATTTCATTTATAGGGTCTGTTATCAAAAGAGAAAGTTTTGCTTGGTGCTTGATAGG